AAACACTGCGCTAAATGTAGCTATCCTGTTTATCAAAATCGTCTCCAGTAGAGTCCAAATATCCCTCTCGTAGTCTCGTATACCTGTTCCCTTCATCTACTTCTATAGTTTCTCCATTTTTTCTACCCGAGGGATAAGATGGCCCGCCCTATCCGACCCCCTTGGTTTCATCCTGTCTTCCCATCTTTTGCCTATACTACTCGGTTCCTCAGAAAAAGTTATTTCTTTTGCTTTAAATAAACCAAATGTCACCAATGAATTGCCACCTCAGGCTTGGTTTCAATACATAAAACTAGGAGGTTACTTAGTATTTCGACCATTGACATTCAGCTACATGACTCAGGGTTTTTTAGGAACAGAGCTATGCAGTTACACATGAAGCTCTGGCCAGTTTTCACTACTTCTATTTTTTCATCTCCTGAGTGGTGCAGAGTTTGTGATAAAAAGCGTCAAGAGGTAAGAATACGAATGACTTCTTACATATGTGACTGCAGCTAGCTAGATATGTCTCGCACAATCTCTCGTCTATTCCGAATTGCATCTGAACTGGGTGGTCGGTACAAGTTGTGAAACCATTTCAACATTTTTTCTGTTTTTTTTTCTTAACAACTGTCAGTAGTGACAGAATAGGTGATTTGATAGCAGCGTGATTATCTGCTGTAAATTCTATGCGGAAGGAAGTTCACCAAAAGAGTATCCATCTCAGAGCTGCAGTAGTAGAGGTCCATAAGTTCTTACATGTGCTCACGCTGAGATCAGGCACGGGAAGGTCTTAGTACACATTTTGAGACATTTATCTTGCTGAAGCTCGGCAATTCCTTGGGATCTGCGTGCCTCGCAAGGTGGTGCAGATTCGTAGATCCAGCAGCAGACCTGTTTCTGGTGGCAAGATTGATGATGTCGTGAGGTTTGAACTGGTGAATAGTGTGTCATCTAAGCACAAGGAACTCAGCATGCTTTTTCTGTATTCAGGTTCATTCATTTTAGGTTTGCAAATTTAAGAAAATCATTCGATCCGCCATGGATTCCCAGAAAGTCAAAAAACGAAAATGTGATGAAGATTGCAGAGGTTTTTAGTTTCCACTATAGCACTTCGAGGAAATCTCCTCCTCAGCACTGCCCGCTTCAGTCAATTGCAGGAAGTCACCCATCACCACTTATTGTTCACCACTTACTGCAGCAATTCATCGGCACTGATTTGATTGTAGACATGGGCACAGATCTGACAAAGTGGATGATGGAAAACATACACGTCTTATGACAGGGTCCGGACTATTGCGCTTTCCTGAAACCCTTCCCGGTAGATGATCCCTAAAGCCACTGCAGGTAGAAGGAGGTAATGTTCAGCACAAAGTTCACAAGCTAATGTTGTGAACTTTGTGCTGGGAATTGCAACTGCAACAGTGTTGGAGCAGGAAAGAAATGTGAAACAGATTCTCTTAATTCCCGGTTGTAGCTAATTTTTCACAGTCGATGGCATGTGCCTCGGTAAAATATGATTGGATGCCAAGCTGTCTTCCCAATGTACATTTCTCCTTTCATTTTCAGGCAAGGGTGAAGCTAAACTACCATAATCAAACAAAAGCATCGGAAATGATTTAGAAAAAGAGTAACAAATCCATCATTTTAGTTACCGGATATAATGTACTATTTGGCTACTACAGTCCAGGGAGCGAAGGAAGCGAACTGACGCCGAACATGATCCGCAGCCGTCTGGAAAATATGGTTAATGGACAAATCGAAACTGTGGCGATCTTCTTCACCTGGTGTATGAAGTTTGGATTCGAGAACGCTGAGTTCTTCCGACTTGTGCAAGTGACGCAAGGTCAACTAGAGTTGCATATGAGTCAGCACAACTTTGAATACAGTGTACTACTGTATGAAGTGAATTCAGATGCTGGACGATGACTTGTTCCTGGGTCTTTTCATGGCCTGGCATCTCCGAGCCTCCATGTGACTCATCGTGGTACAGTTATTTGTAAATTGAATAGTCACTGGAATCTCCATAGTGCTCTACGGAAAAGTATTCCTCGATGTCACCACGACACAAGTTTCGAGATCAAATTCTACCGAACTCTGCAGCGTCATAGCGCTGTCAATATTCCCACATGGTAAAAAATGTTTTCCTCAGACCCGGATGCTGCATTCGAGAAGAACAAACATCAAGACGGCCGTCTCTTGTAATGTAGAGTTGCTGGTGGAACACAGTTTGGAGATGTTACGTATTTCATAGCATTTTGATTGATCACCCACAATATCATACTTCTGATAATCTATCCGATTCCCGTTACCGAGCAGCTTGATAGTACTCACCCGTAGAAGAGAGGCTTGTTCATGATTGCTTGGGAAGCAACCTCATAAGCGTTCATGCTCTTGGAGGATGGTGCTACTCAGTCGCACCACTTTCCATAAACAAAATGCTCAGGTTCATTTTCACAACGTGGTTGGCACTTACTGCGTTCAGACTGATATACCACCAAAGGTATATAACGGTTTCAAAGTCAACGTTTCTCCTGTAGTCATTGAAGTCTCCTTGTTCCTTCGGCCGGTTTTTTCAGCCAACCCTGAGGCCGACATATTCAAAGGAGCTCGGGTCCGCTCGAAACGCGTGTAGAACAAGAAGAAAGCAATAAAAAAAAAAGAAGAGAAAGCAATAACGTGATTATTTTGGACTCTGAAGTCCAGGCCTTGAAAAGGAAGAGAAAGGGGTAGCGTGATTATGTTAGATTCTGCGGTCAATGCATTGTACTGTGCGTTGGACTTGTTACCTTATGTAAAAAATAAATTTCAAAAATATTCAGCCCGTATCAGAATCTTCCGTTTTTTCTGTGAAGTGAAACGGCGGAAGTTCAATACAGGTCCGGAGTGAAAATTGTATACTGAATAATTTCCAGATGGGGTTCAAAAATTATAAAATATATTACATTTTGTGGAGCACTGAGGAATAAGGAATACTTGTAGTCAGTTAGGCTATATGATCTTTGCTTGTGGCATTTCCAACCATTAATATTGTGCATCTCTTAGAAAACCTTGCAGCAAGAGTCAAGTGCAAGAAATTTGTCACTTGTAAGCTTGTGTGACCAAATGCCACTCCTAGCAAACCATTGATTGAGAATTTCAAGGAATGTGAATGGAATAATTGCCTACCAATTGCAACACTTCGTAAACTTTTACTACACATACACCAATGTACAAATGCAGAAGTTAATGTTGTACCGATAGTGAGAATTAACAACAAAGTAACAAAATAACATGAAACAATAAAAGTAAAAAGAGTAACCTGTCATGTGAGTTGAGACAAGAGCTGCTTGTAATTTTTATTGGACAAGATTTTTCGTTCTAATATTTGAGTGCATTATAACCTGAAACAGGGACAAACAATGAAAAAAGTCATAACTAGATGTTATCAATTGGTTCTTTCATAAACATTTTGACCCTTCCGGGTTAGTTTAACCTTGAATGTATTATGCATCAAGAGCTTGGGTATGTAGATTTATTAATATAAACGTAAATAATTACTTATTATGCTCTGATCACCTCCTTATTCCAACTTTAGTAAAAAGTAGTAAATATACATCAATTCTCTCATCTAAGTGTAGTTGCACTATTTTGGAATTATTCAGTTTTATTAATTTAAATCATGCATCTAAGTAAAACAGCCCACAAATAAAAGAATTAAAAACAACTGATACAGCTGAAGAATTGTAGAGTCAAAAGCTTAAATGCAATATATAAAACTTATGAGAAATGGAGTTATGTCACTTTCATTGAATAATGTCTTGTCTGGAAAAAAATATTACAGCTCGTTTATGACTGAACATATTTCAGTATCTACATGTAATCAAATAAAGATGTAAATCATACTACACATCTAATACAGAGGTATTTAATCACAATTCCAAATTTTGTAACAAAAATTTTATGCGGATGTGCTTTACACAAAAGAGAGAGTACTAAATAAATGATTTAACACGTTTGCGATTCAACCATTTTATCAATTGACCAATGTGCTATCATCTTTTCATTTAACATGTTTGGAATGATGATATGAGCATACGAGTTGCAAAAGTTACTTGATTCATTTGAGTCAACATATCAGATATTGGAGTTTCCATGTAAGTTTGTCTTACCCTTTAGACTTCAAACAAAATCTTCAACCGGAGTTATGAATCATGGTTATCTAAAATTTAGCATACAAGGTATTTTTCATCTCATGTATACAACAAACTTTTTCTTCACTTGCAAGCAGATTAGAAAAATGTAAATTCTTGAGAGGATTGATGTTGACCTTAGCAAGTATAAAGCTGGTTCTGTCGTGTTCTATACGACGTGATAAACAAGCAAGAGTCCTCTTAGCACGCACGAAATCTGATTTCATTTTAATGTTTGAGGTCTATAAACCTCTGTGCATGCGCTCACATGCTTGACAGCTGAGATAGAAGAACAATCATACCAGCAGTTGAAAACCTCGAGTACTCTGTCTGTACCCATTTTTAGAAAACTACCACAAAGTTGATGAGTTTGTTCTGAACCTATGAGATATGCTGAGTAATGTAGACTACTGTACCGAAAGTCAAAGCAAGAAAAAAGCACAACAGACTTCGCCCACCGAGCTGACTACGCATGTGCCCTCTCAGTTGTCAGAATACATCCACTTGCTTAAATAGGTCCAAGGTTCCAGGAAAAAGGAAATCTCTTTTGTCAGCGTGACGACATCGAGTGTATCAGCACACATGCATTCACTCAATTATCCTGTTCGGTTGCACAACAAAGTCAAGATTTACTCTGATTTTCTAAGACAATTTCCAATCACACCTAGTATGGAGAAACACGCTTGTTGTATTCCTATGTTGTCGTTACCTCGATCGCTCACACAATTCAATGACAAGATCTGATTGAAGACGCTGCATTCATTTTCCACGCCCATGGTAAGCTTAGTCCTCCCGTAGGTCTTGATGCAGCTAGATTCGCTTTCTCCCATTCCAGATGTACTTCCAGTTTTACACCACTCAAATTTCATCACATATATGAGCTTCCAAACATTCCATGACATTCTGCTTCTTCCACATCGCACCACTTTGCTAAGAACGAGTCTTTTATATTTCAGATTCACTTTCAGAGCTATCAGCGTTTTCTCTCAGTTTGAGGTCGGTCACGAATGCACATCAAACACCTCTCTCCTTTCGACTCGACAATTGGTATGTGTTCCCGAGAGACGTGAACTCTCCTTTGCACACGCTCTACGATTTCGCATTCTGGTTTCAAGCATTCAATTTGATTCACCTCAAGCAGACTCCTGCTTCTACTTTGCACTATCTTCCTGCTTTCCTGGTCATTGGTCTTGATCCAATTCTGTATAGAGCTTGGAGTAATCTTTGTGTCGCTCCTCTAGCACTCTCATAACCAGCATGCACATGCAGGCAAGTTGTGGCTCTGATACGGGAAGTTCAGTTTTCTTCGGGTGAGCCGGGCCTGCGGATCGAGGAGGGGCCTCCTTTAGGCACGGTTACAGTTCGCTCGCTTCCTCCACTCTCACAGAGGAGAGTGGAGGAGAGAATGGAAGGTGCAGGTGCGTCCATAGACACTCACGCTGCTGAGACACGGGGAATGGAATCTGCAGACGAGGATGCGAAGCTTCCTTCCACTATCGAGGACCTTATACGGCGTCTGGAAGGAAAAGGAGAGCCTATCACGAGGCTTCACGAATTAACCGGGACAGATTTTCGGGATTTCTTTCCCGAGCGTGAATTGCTCTCGACGGTCAGAGGGTGGCGAAGCCAAGTGCGACTTCGAGTGCTGGATGCAATCGGCAACTGCGACACCCTTGAGGATCTTAACTTAGAATTTATTTGTGGCGGAGATATATCTACGTTGACTGTTAGCGAGTGGGAGATAGTTTTGAGAGGATTTAGGTGTAGCACCGTCCTAGAAATGATACGCCTTCAGTTCTTGAGCTGGGGTTCAGATGCCGAAGTGGAGAGCTTGTGTTCACAGCTGGGGACAATTCTGAATACCTCTAGCGTAGCACAGTTGTCAATAGACAATTGCAGATTGAGTGCCAGATGTTTCTTGAATCTCGCCTCAGGACTGCGAGGAAATGTTGAATCTAACCTCAAGTATTTGGATGTATATCGCGCGTGGAAGGACTCGAGTGCGGTGAAGCATGTGGCTGACATGATCAACAGTGCTACTCGATTAAAAACTTTGGTTTTAGGCTATATAGACAACATGGAGGAGGAGACCGTCGGAATCCTGTCCCAGGCTTTGATCAAGTGCTCGTCTTTGAAAGAACTGAAATTAGAAAGGGTGGACAAGGGAGAGGCCTTGTTGCTGAAAGCTTTGGCCGGAGATGATGGCAACCGATCCATTGAACGTCTTCGGCTGGAGCGTATGGATAGACTCGGAGGCTGTTTTAGGGAACTTCTTACCTCCAACCCATCATTGAAGGAATTGACGTTGGTCTCCTTGCGGATGAGTCCTGAGGAATGGCGCCAGCTCTGCGAAGTCATACGTGACAGGGCTCGAGCAACAAACATCATAGTTCAGTTTAGTGGTATGCAAGAGATTAGAGAGAAGAATGGGAGTCAATAGAAGCTCTTGCATGTGCTGCTAGCTCCGATGTCCAGGACCCCACAGTGGAGCTTGTACTCGCACCTAATAGTTTCCATGAGTGGATGTTATCATTGAGCTTAGTAGCGAGGGTACTGCGTGGGGAAATCAAGTCCCTAAAATCGTTCAGTATATACGCGGGTGAGTTTAGCATGACATATACCAACCAAGATAGAATAGAAAGTATGCTGTCGATGAATGGAAAAACTGGAGAAGCTTCCGTCCTGAAGAGCTTGCTTTTAAGTTTTTTAACATATAAAAGCAAAGATCTTTTCAAGGGAGTATGGAAGTACTTGTTTTGGTGCTTGCGAGGGAACATAAGTCTCACTCACTTGGATTTGGGTCTCTCCCATGTTCACGAAGAGTCGTTCAGGGACCTGATGGGGCTACTACAAGTGAACTTGACTATCCGGGGAATAGATGCCTCAAGAACCACGTGGGCAAGGGACGGAAAGGCGGCACAGATTCAAGAAGCGTTAAACCAGAACCAGCAGCGGGCAGTCTACATGTCCGTGTTCCGAGAAGCTAAATTAGCATTTGGAGATGCAAAAGCTGGTAGACTCTTCTTATGTAGCTCTCATAGAGCAGGTAACGTGCTTTGTTATGTTCTCAGCTTATTCAACCAGTAATCTAAGGTTTTTAAAGTTTATATTTCTATCTCGTTCTGTATTTGGAATTGTGTAAAACAATTAAAAATATATCCTAATTAGTACAAATTATAAGTAAGATTTATTTACCATTTCAAAATTTGATGTGAATTTTCCAATCATATTCATTTATTTATTTATTTATTTACTTACATGATATGATTACAGAATATAGTATGAAGTGATCTGTAAAAATATCCCAAGTAACAAGTTATATTTGTTGTCGTATGTGTATTCCATCTGCAGGCAAGACTAAGTTGCGTCAAACCCTGATGAGAATAGTTCAAGGCAGAAGTTGGCTTGGGAACAAATGGTCAGAGTTGTGGAGAACCCAAGGCATTAAAGTGGAGTGCTTGCAAAACGATGACAAAATGCAAATCTCAGTTTGGGATCTTGCTGGACAAGGGATTTTCCGTACCCTTCAGAATGTGCTCTTTCCTCAAACCAGCAATTTTTGTGTTTTTTTATTTGTGTATAGCACCTTTTGTGAGAAAACATCTTCAAACAAAGGGGAGTCTTGTTTTCAAATAGAGTTGGAAGAATGGTTGAGTTTCATTACATCCAACACTAAAGTAACGGGACACAATCGTCCACAAGTTCTTGTTGTGATTTCACACAAGGATAAAACCAAATCCAGTTCTTTGACTTGGGCTCATTCCATAGTGGATGAGCTCACCGGAAGATTTGCAAAATTTGTGGATCTTCAACCTATCCAAGAGTGTTTTCATGTGGATGCTCGGAAAAAAAAGCAAGCGATTCATCTCAAAAATCACATTTTTGAGATTTTCAAAAAATTGTTGAGTGAAAAATCTCCAAGGGTTCCTCAATTGTGTTTACAACTCTCGTCGCTCTTGGTTCCAAACACCAATGTAAACAAGAGTTGTCTTATTTTGCCATTCCAAAAGTTTCATGAGTTTTGTGCTCCAACCTTGACTCAATACATTCCATACTCTTCTGCTTGTGCCTTTGATCATTCAAAGATAATGGATTCTATCATATTCTATTTGAATGACGTTGGATCAATTGTTCATATACACAACCTTGATTACATCATTGTGGATCCGAATTGGCTCACCAATACATTATTGGGTGAGTTGGTAGCTTTGGGTCAAGATTTTCAAGCTCAAGAGTCTAGATCTTCTCACAAAACATTGTCAAGTGACTCATACACAAGCAACAATGGATTTGTGAGTGAGACTGTCTTTGCTCGGTTGATAGAGGAGTTTCTGCGAAAGCAACCACATGGACAGAAAGGAGTGGACAGAGAGGTGCTTGAAAACATACTTATCAATTTGGATTTGTGTTTCAAGCTAGAAGATACTTCTCAGTATTTCATTCCCTCCTTCATACGTGAGCATGCAAGCAAGGAAGAATAGAAGCATCAAGAATGGGAGCACGTGAAGTCGATGGCTTGGGAAACTAGGGGTGGGACTTCAGAGTTTGTGGGCATCCGGATTCAATGCCAAGACGAAAGAACAATGTCACTGACCGCTGCTTTTTTTTCCATGCTTCCAGGTGAGGGTGATTCATGATTTCAGATATGTTGTGAGAAGATTGAATGTGTCAAGTTCTGATTGTAACTTAAGCACAATGAATGGATTGTTTACTTTTTGTAAGTTGAATTCAATTCTTGAAATTCGCAACTCAATATTTACCAAGTTTTGTATCATTGTAGATGTTCATGAGACGCAAGTTGATATCGGATATGCATGTTTCCAAGGATGTAGTTATCTGCTCTCGACATTATCTGCGACTTTTCCTTGATGGACATCAGATTTATGTCCAACAAGGAAGATCCCACAAATATGTGGATGTTCTGATGTTATGCTTAAAGCATAAGTCAAAGGAGGGGACTCTGAAATACGTGATAAAGCATATAGTCCACAAGTTGATATCATTTTGTGCATCACCCAGAGGCTGTCCCGGGGTGGCGTTGATGCTCGGTGTGATCCAACCTCTTTGCGTGGAGATGCTGATTCCGAGTCATATGAGAGGGTTCATTCTGATCGAGGAGCTCAAATCCAAATTCATTAGTAGCATCAATGACAAACTTGAGGATCTTCCGTTGGATAAGTCGCACTTGGAGAAGGAGGAAGAGTTGTTCAACTATGAGCACTCTTGGCCTTTGATTGAAGGGTACACAGAACAGGTTATATTCGAAAGAGCTAGGGACTTGTTGCGGGAGAGCGATGTGAAAGCGGTTTTGAATGACATCCGAGAGAAGCGAATGCAACAATTGGAGTCATTAGAGCAAGGCCTTATCCAACAGCTGGAGTCATTGCAGCAAGGTTTAAACAAAGTGGACAATGATTTAATTCATTCTTACCCTGAAAATGAGAACAAGGTTCCCAATTCGAATTTTCTTGATATGAAAGATTCCAATCGACTTTCATCCAAGTGGTTAAGGCGGGCGAGCACAAGTGTAGAATATCGTTCTACCCGACTGGAGAACAAGATCGATCAGCGTGTACAAAAGGTTGATGGTTTGGATGAGAGGTTGAGATCAGTGGAGAGTATTGTGCAGAGGTTGGATATTAAGTTGGGACAGATACTCTCTTTGCAACAAGAACTACAGTCAACATTGAATGACTTCATGTCTAAAGTAGACAATTTCATTCAATATTCTCATTCGCTTCACCAGGCAGGAACTCCCAAGCGACCTTACGTTACTGACGATGTGGGAATTTTCTATTGGATGAGTGCTCTTCTGCATGTTGGGACAACCGTTCGCTTACACTTGATGTGTGAGTCGGCTACTGGGTTTCACAAGGTGGAAGATCAAGAAGGATTAAAGATACGATTGGATCGAGAGAATTCCAGGTGGATTGGGAAAATAATTGAAATCTCATTCAAAGTTATGTATTATGCTGCAAAGGCTGGACTGGATGCGACCCTTGGTGTAGGCCAAGCGATTCCGGATTGGGGAGATTTAGAATCTAATATTGTGAAACTAGATAGCATTAGCGATCGTGATCGTAGGGCAGTTCTAAAAGGTGGAGAAAGCAAAGAGCTGAAAGAAGCATGGTTAAGGATTCAGCAAACTCTTGCACCCCAGCTTCAAGGTGGTTATTCCGCAATCTTTAAGTTGTATCAAGTGAAATACGTGAGACTAGAATTAGGTGGGCATGCATGGGTGTGCATGCATAAAGGTCGTAGCTCTGGCATTTTGACATATTAGGAATTTGAAGAGGTTAGAATGTCATTATGTAATTGACAAGCATGTGTTTAGATCCTCATGCAATATAAACCTCTGCAAAATCTTCCTTGGAGTTTTCACTTGTACATGTCTTTCACAATCTATGCAATCATGTCAATCGCGCAGTTATGTTTCTGAAGGATATGAGTATTTGGCTAAACTATCAAATTTCCACTTTCACGACAAACTTTTAAGTATATCTTGTTGCAAGTCTCACCATGATGAAATCCCTTCACTTACCATGAGGGGTGGTCAACCTTGAATTTCAATACACATCCCTGTTTGATTTTTAAGAATGATAAAGATCCAAAAGCTGTAGAATGTACAGGATTGAAGGTTATGTTATTTTATTTTTTAGATCTGGTAGACTTGAAAAGACACGAGTGCAGTTTTACACACTGAATTTGGCCGCTTGACAATAAAGGCGTGTATTCATACCAAAGACTAGAATGATCATCTTTTCCACTAAAATACGTCAGGCACGACTGTAGCTTTTGCTATGCATTATAATGCATAGCAATCATTCAACTATTAGATCCTTGTGTAATTTCTGAGAATCCTATAAATTCAGGTTAGCCCCAATGACCTACCTTCACTACATCATTATGTCAGTTGATATACTTGAAATCACTATTTCAAATGACGGAAGGGAATCAGATTTCAGAATAAAATTATTGTATTTGGTTCTCCACATTATTAGTGAATCTTCAAGATTCCACGTCAACATGCACGTTAAATAGGAATGCTCTCCTATTTTGTTTCAAATGTTCGGCCTTATGAAAAGCGGAGTAGTGGATGATATCTTTATCGGTTTCTTATTTGATAACCTTCACAAAACACCAGTCTTGCAGTCTATTAAGACCTGTAGCATCAGAAAGCCGACCCGAGATGCCACGTGAGATTCACAGTGTTCAGATCAAACTTAGTTCACCCGCTTAAGGAGGTTTGAAGGCAATCATTATTTGCTTTGGCTTCTGTTTCGAATTTTTCTTAGAGTAATCTAGCTTGGCTTGGATTTTTACGTTTTCATTCTGTTATCGTAACACTTGTTGATTTATGTCCTTGTCAAACTTCCTAATCTCCATATGGTTCTTATTACAAGAATCCGTTACATGCGTACGCTGATCATCTAAGGTCTTTCTCCTTCTCGCAAGTCAAAGAGAAGGATGTCTCTTTGATCGAAGTCCATCTTCTAAATCTACGTATTCTCATGGATTGAGTGCCTTACTTGATCTATCATCATAATCATGAATGTTTTATCTTTTCTGATATAGAAGCCTCTGATATCCAAGTTGTTGAAGTTCAAATACTGCAGTCCGTAGTCTGCTCTACATTTCCTGGAGACTACTTCGGAACCTCCAATGGTCGAAAAACCTGCCAAGAGTTTTAAAGAAGAGCTTTGAAACTAGACGTTCTTTGTGTACACATTACTTCCGAATGCTAATTTTACGCACACGTGCATGGGCTGCACTCAGGAACGTTATATGAGGATGAACTCCGCAATGCTGTCCAGCATCCTCTTCATGCTCACCCTTACGCTGGTGTCATCACAAGGTCGTACTTCGTTCTCAATCCCGAGGCCATTCTATAACACAAAATGTGTTGCGGACAATGTGGTGTCACTGGAAGTTATCTCGAACTCCTCAGTATCGATACAGCTGAATGAAAGTCTATAGGTAGTCGTGGGCTCCGTTTATGGAGTGCAAAGAAATCAGTGAACACGTGCCCTGTTTCCTTGCAGAGTGTGCTGAAAATAGAGAAAACGGAGTTGTTGTTGAAGGGGATATGCCCTTCTTGTTGGCCGAGGAATGGGAACTGCCTTTGCACATCATTTCAAAAGCCTGTCCCGAGAAGTCTCTCGCTGCCGTAGCGTAAGCTGCCCTTACCACGGTTCCTTTGAGTCTCGTCCTCATAACTAGGTGGCTAAGGATTAAAGCTAGACAACTACTTTCCTACTGGCTTCTTTTGTTCGTCAATTTCCGTCCGTCTGATATTGTAACTCATTCGGACTGATTTGTATCGTAGACCTCGTCCCATTTACAATCTCATGCAAACTGAGTGAGTGCGGGCTGTATCTGAAGCTTAAATATGTGTCTGCTCCCTCGCTGAAGAGAGGACCGGAATGAAACAATTTCATTCTTCCGTCTCTCCGATTCCAAATGGAAACTGGCGTTTTGTGTTTAGAATATGTGATAAGAATTTTAGACCCGAAGAAGAAAGTAAAACGTTTTTTGAATTGCACTTACGAAATATCTGACTCCTGCTAACGCCCAACACAACTGGAAAGAATCACATTTTTTAGTGGCCTTGACTGCCGTTCTGTTGGTGCACTATCAAACTCAAACAAAAGTTTACAGTGGTGCTGCAAAGTCATCTGATCGAATGACATCTCGGTCGAGTGTGTGTCACCGGATGTCTCAGCATTACACAGAATATGTCCAATGAAAAAGCGGTGATTTAGTGCTGCTGAGGGAGAGGAATTGGCTTTTGTCAGCTCCGTTAGGCAGTTCATGCACCCCAAGTACTGAAAGGGTCTGATTCAGCGACGTGTAGGGCCATATCAGCTTTCCCAAGCCAGAATCCATCATTCTTGTACGTTTCTGAATATCCCTTTTGGCATTTCAATGCCCATACAATCAGGATCGTTTACTACCTCGAGGATGCGTGCCACATATCGGAGTGCTTCCGTTCTGCCTCTATTTTAATGTAAAGCTCTCAGAACAGAGTACACTCAAGATGGAATGGAATTCCTTTTCGGTTCAGAACATACCAGTTCTTTACGGTTCCCATAAATCCTGGATATCTAAGTCTGATCCAGGTGCAGCATAGTATATGCAGTAGTTCTTCCTTAGCACTGCCGTGAAAAGGTACTGGGGCATATAAGTAAAACTTCAGGTGACTGCCTGTGTTTTCTTTTTTATGGTTCTGATTCTGATGGCCACGCAACATCTGTCCGTGTAGCATCCACAGAACTGTAAACGTGGGGTGCTTCAGAATTTGAAAATCCTCGAAAACAATTTGCTCTTGCTCTTCATGTTCGTGTGTCGTTGTAGGAGAAATGAGTAAACTGTCAGAGAATGCATTCAGGGTTCTAATGTTCTTGAATTGACAGATACTGCATTTGTTGAGTATGAGATTTGTTTCACATAGTCCACTGTTCAGCTGAAGTGGACAGAGTGATGAGACTGCGGAGAAATTCAATTTGTTAACAGAGCGTTTGGTAGTGTTTAGATGGCTGTAGTTTCAGTGGCGTGATGCAAAAGTTGAAAGTAAGGAGTTTCCTCGAGAGAATTTTGCAGTAAGTGGAGACAATTGAAAGCATGGGGAGCGTGTTCGAAAATCTTCGATGGGCCCGATGTGGGAAATAAGAGTTGGATGGAACCAAGTTTGACACATGGAATTACAAGATAGGAGCTTTGATGAGCTCAAGACTTGTACAGGATCGTAAGTGGTGAGGAGATAAGAACAAATAGTAGAGATGCAAATAGCTTCAACTTGAGAGATGAACAAAGCTATGGCAATGTTTGAGTGGTCAGTCCACGAAGCATGGAGCATAGACCACGGAGCATCGTGGAAGCTCTCATTGTGAAATACAACATGAGTCAAAGAAGCATGAAGCATAGTGACACCAACAAATGAAATGAAGTCATCTACCAAAACAGTGCAATTACGATAAGAACTTCAAAGTGTGAGACAAGAGATTATATGGTGACACGTTCAGGACCTGTTGAGTGAGTTGTCCAAATAAGACTCCGATATGTTCTGGACCTATTGTCTCCAAGAGGGAAGGAGTTCAGAAATAGGTGAAGTAGAGTTTGTTCCACAAGAATCACGAGTACTTGTGGAATATATGATCCACGATATACAGTCATGTATATATACAATGATTGATATACTTATGACATCAAGCACGACATCGTAAATTTGCAGTTTTCAAACAACGATTCCTTTTTACGAAATAAGAGAAATTGTGAAGTCACTTGGTAAACGTCTTACGAAGATGAACTTGGAGAGTTATATTTTATTTTTTTAATGTGTGCACATTGTTCAATTGTTACACATTGCGGTTGTTTTGCACCTAAATCAATTCCACCAAATTTCACTAAACACAAATCTAATAAATATCTTTGCTTTTGACCACATTTTAAGCTTCAAAAAATTCATGACAACAACATTTAAATGTGGTTTTATAACAAGTTCATCATCCAGAACTGGAGTGAAGAATAATCAATGCTTTCAATTCAACATCTTCTTGCTAGTTCTCTCCCAACAACTATCAAGATTGTTGACTTTCACCAAAAACGATTCTCCACAAGGTATTCAAAATTACTCAAAACCTTGAAAATTATCAATGATGTCACTTATGATTATTGTCAATCATTAGCTTGAACTTCACTATCAACGAGAATTTGATTGAATCTTAAGTTTGAATCTTGAAACATGTTTGGATAAAGTTTGACATTTATCATAAAGTGTTAAAGAAATTTTGATAGATTTTGTTTATCATTCTTTAATCATACATATAGCCTTACAATACAACTTTTCTGAAAACTGTGTGACAGATTAAAATATAATTATTTAAATATGTAGCATACATTTTTTAAATTATATATTTTTTTTTATTTATGATGTTGATGAGAATGCAAAACTATCAAACTTGCTAAACTATTGATATTCTAAAATCCTAGAGTCAATAATCATGACTAATTAGAAAATAAACTTATTTTGTATTGTTTGTTTCTATTTATATCATTTCTTTATAATTAAAATTGAAAATTATGATATTTATGTTACATATTTTATTTGAATTAAGAAATCAACCAATCGTGTTACAATATTATATTGTTTAATCTTTTTTCGCTAACCTAGTACGAAACGTGAGTGCGGTCGCGTAGATTCACACGGATTTAGGGTCCTTGGAATTCGCAAAGGGTCTACCTTTACTTCTGACAATTTTAACGCGCCTCCCCTTCTCTCTAACCAGGGCTGTCGGTCCCAACAGCCAATCGCAGTTGCGATGTATCTCGCATGAATGCAAAGAAGATTTATAGCTGATATAGTATGTTGTAAGACAGTGTTTAATTTCGCAAGTGATTTAGTAGATACATGAAATTCGAACAAAAGGATTGGAACTAGCGAATAAAAAATAAAATTAGACTCTATATATATATATATATATATTCTGTTCATCCATAAAAATAAAAAAAACTGCACTCTCATCTATGGTCGAGACTTTTGGACCAAATAATAACAATGATAATTTCTGCACCTTTATTTTAGATATTAAGAAAAAATAAATTTAATATCTATTACAAAACCATTTTTTAAAAAACATCAAAATTGATGAACGGTGGGAACAATCTTTCAATAAATTTTTTTTGAAATAACTGGATAAAAATATTCACATCAATATTTGAATATATATTTTCTTAACTTACTGAAAGAAAATACCTTTCTTTCAAAACAAATTAAATTACTAAAATATATGAAACATAAACACTTTAATATCTTATCAACTACACAATATTGATCTTGTAAGCATTTATGTACATGTGATTTGAAATATTTAAGACATATGAACATTTCATCATAACATGTATCATCTTCAAGTCAAATATCATGATATATTAAACTCTGAAAAAAAATTGATATGAAGTATTTGAAAGAGTAAAATTCTTGTGTTATTCTTCAAATTTTTTGTTAAAAAAACAAACTGAAGATGAAAAGTATGTTCAAAATCTTTCTGATTACACTCTGTGACTGAAGCAATTGGATAAAAAAATAAGAAGAATTTTTGCTGGGTGAGGGATTATTGCCAAACTTCAATGCCTGTATCCAAAAAAAATTCATTACCACTATAGCAAGACCGATAATGGTCGGTATTTCGTAATTCAAATGATTTTCGGAGTAAAACCAGTTTTTTCAAAAAAACTTTACTTCTCTTATCATATCTATGTATCATCATTCAACCATGCCATCCACATTTCCATCACTACGCCAGTGCTCAATGTGGAAATTTTTCTCAGAGAAACGTAAATCATGTGGATTGTGGAGTGTTTGTTTTGAGATCAAACACCACATACATGTTGTTTCAAATGCTAAGGAATTACCGAAAAACCCGATTTCTATCGAAAATTATTTCGGGTTAATTAAAAAAACCTTAAAAAGTCTGATTTCAACAATGGTTTTAATTTATCAAAATTTAATCAATTGTATTAGACTGTTAGTACCTAATCAGTACAGAACAGTGTAATAAAAAATAATTCATGCTTCTAAAATTCATTATTATCATCGGTCTATCTGCGCTATCAAAACCAGACTATCAATATCGAATAATTCTAAGAACGCGGGATAGTTATTCTTAATAAACACTAGCTTCCATTTCAATAATTTATACACTCAAAACCACACTAGTAACGTAGTTTGCTATTAAATTAAAGACTGCAGGAACCACCAGAAGAATGAATTTTGATAAATTGAAATTTAAAACCCGATTTCATGCCAATAAATAATGACGGGTCTTTTAGAAAAACCTTTCTAAACCTGATTGCTAAAAACATGATGGTGCAAGCTCTGCTCTTACCAAATAGATCACAACCGATTCCTCAAAGTGTCTCAGGGAGTGACGAGATTTTAAATCGTGATGGCCAAGAGGAACGAACTGCTATGGCATACGATAGTCAAGTCCAACGTTACACTGTGTCCTATATAAAGGATCAATGTGAGAACCAGCCCAGGTCTGATACTCCTACCCCTCTTGTTGCCGAATCCCACACGAGTTACAGAAAAGGAAAGATTCTCGCGCAATACAAGAGCAACTTCAGAAGCTTCCATTACCCTTCTATCCGTTAGTACTTTTTTTGCCAGCGAGTCCAAAAAATTAAATTCTCGTTTTCGTTCATAGTTCATAATTTTTAATATTAATTTTCACCGTATGAAGAGGCTTCCCCACAGGCTTTTCCAGACTTCCCCATCTTGAGAGAACGATCGGTGCAAGTAAATGTAATCCTTGTGTTAATGACAGTCTTCCTCGCCACTCAATTTATAGCACAATATATAGATTTATACCCAAAGTGTTAGGATGGTTATCCGGAGGACTCTATAAGTGTTACTTGTCCAACAACTCGAGGAGGTGCAGTAGATTAATGAAAGAGACGGGGAAGGGGATAGGGAGCACGACGGAGACAGGGAAAGGGAAGGGTGGGTGGGGGGGTTGGGCGGGGGGGGGCGGGGGGGGGGGGGGGAGGGGAAGCCGCTGCGAATGAAAGTAGGAAAGAAAGCACGAGCTGCTGCGCAAGAAGAAGAGGAGGAAGAGGAGGAAGCAGATCCGATCGATCGAGCCGAGGTCGTTCAGCTGACGATGGCAGCCCCGAACCCCGATTCCAGAGACGCGACGCCCGGATTGGCGCAGATCGGGACCGAAATTTCGGACTCGAAGAAGGGCGCTGGAAAATGACGGAAGTGCTGCTGCTGGTGCAGATTTTGTAGTTAGGTTGTTGTTGGGTGGCTCGAATCCGCGGCCTCTAGAGGTTGGGAAGCAGAGGAGGAGGGAGGGAGGCGAGGAAGAGGAGGGTGGGACGAGAATTGGTGACAGGATGAAGAGGAGGGCGGAGAGGGCGGATTTTGGAAGTGGATGCGGAGGTGGGGGCGGAGGCGGATGGAGATCAGCTTCGAAGTGAGCGAGGGGTGAGGGAGGGCATTAGCATGCGGAGAATTCTCGGTTTGTGCTGTGAGGGTGGCGAATTGGTACGGAGGAGGCATGGCGCCTAGTCGCCTGCTGCTACCAAGCATCAACGCTATCAGGGTTTGGACGCGACCGCTGAGTACGGCTGTGGCGAGGCCGCGGTTTTCGTACCAATCTCCTCCGAAGACGCGACCGATTGTGATGGCGAACGTGACGAAGGCCAATTTTTGGGAGACTTATGAGCAGCTGGTTATTCACTTGCAGACTGCCGATTTTGTGGCATTGGATTTTGAGATGACGGGTGTGGAAACCACTCCGTGGCGACGTCACTCCGAGCTGGATACTTGCGATACTCGATATTTGCACATCAAGCATTCGGCGGAGTCCTTCGCCGTTTGGCAGTGTGGAGTGTGTCCTTTTAAGTGGGACGAGCCCGGGCAAAAGTTCATTGCGTACCCGTAAGCGTTTGTCCTTGTGTGCATGATTTTATTCGGAGCTTCATAGATTCGTCGTGGTATGACCATTTCCTTGTGAATTTTTTTTAATAAATTGTTTTTGGATGAAACTGTGACGAGCCTTTGCATGTGCACCTTGGAAGTGAATATTTGCCTTCAGTCTCAGTAACACCATCCGAGGTGAGGTTCCTTCGTTCGGGGCCTTCAATTTGACTCTGTAAAGACCAATTGAAGGAAACAGGAGAAGGTTTCGTGCGGTATCGTGGTCGGCCTTGAGCTGAATTGTCAGCTTCGAAGCACGTTCATGTTTTTCCTTACTTGAGTTTATAAATTCTGCCGTATGATCGGTGAATTGCATGGATTTAAACGCAGTAGTGGGGTTAGTTTTGCTGAGGCTTGAAATCTTTTCAAATCATTCACCAAGTGTGCTGGAGCTCGGATCATCATTTTCATGTGAGATGCCAAATTTCTGTACTTGAAATTTTACTGAGCCTAACATCCGCTTGTACAGATATAATTTCTACATTTTTCCACGGAACGAGCTTCCTGTAGAAATGCCATCGAGGAGCTATTTTTGTCAAACAGCATCTTTGGAATTTCTTGCAAAGCATCGCTTCGATTTCAACACCACAGTTTATAATGGTGAGTAGCCTTCACATTGGTTGTTGTGTAGTGTAACGTTGTTGTGATGCTCATAGGATTAATGTATAAAGTCAAGTTTATTACTTTGGTGTGTCATATTCTTTATCAAGGTGTATGAGCTGTACAGTGGAATTGTGAGTGCCGTAATAAGCCAACTTCTCGTTACCTCTTTTATTTAGTCTCATGGATTCTTATAACCGTAAGGATATCCGTACGCGCAATTCTCTGTCATTAAGTTGACCTAGACCACGCGCAGGCCACCAAGGTTACCCTGAAACTGCTACGTGAGCATCTGGATCGCTGCTCTCCATGGGTTGGCTTTCCAAGGTTGCCTTGTCTTTTTTTATACATTATGGACGCAGGACGTTGTGGTAACATTCATCTTGCAGTTGATTCTAGTTTTTTTAGTGTACACAGAGTGCAGTGAGCTTACCCCCATCCGGTGCGTAACAGGAATCTCTTATTTGTCAAGAGAGCAGGAAGAGATTGCAAGAGATAAACTCGGCCTTACTGAAGAAGCGCAAAAGTGGAAGCGCTTACAGGCGGAAATGGAGCCCGAGATTCCTTTAACTAGAACCGGTGACGTTCTATTTTCGGAAAAAGTTAGAGTACAACTCGGAGCGTGGCGAGATGGTGTAATGAGAAATCAACAACGATGGGAATGGACTGATCCAGGAGGAGGTTCTAGTGGACGCAGGAGTAGTATATCCAGTATAGATGCAGTCACAAAGGAGAAGGGTATTGAAGGTTTTAAGGATACATGGTCAGCGAAGTCTGATGCGCCTAGTTCTTCTTCTTCGGATAAAGACAGACCTGTTAGTGATGGAGGTTTATCCAGTCATCGGCCCTCTTTTTTTGTGGACATTTTCGGTAATAATCAAGCTCGGCTGGTCAAGCAAGTGAGAGAGCTGATCTTGTCATCCAGTGTACTTTGAAAAGTTTTAGATATTGTACGCTCAAGGTGAAGTTGCATGTTATTTACAACCATTAGTACATGTTGGAATGCATCTTTGTAAGCTAGTTGAGGACGTTTTGGAGCTGCAGGATTGTCAGAATGTCATTTGTTGAATGTACTACAAATTCACCGGATGGGTAAGCCTGCCTTTGAGATCAAGCTTTCTTTCAACAGCAGGCAACTCATGTCCCTCAATTCTGCTGTTAGGTTTTACGCAAGCACTTTCAGGATCTTGTTGCTGTCGTCATCGACAAGCCTAATGCCGAAGACCGCAAGCAAGTGAAAGTCATTTTTACGACTTCTAAGGAAGATAAACTAAAACTTGAGGTCCGTTACCTCTGGCCTCGAAGCAGTGACTTTGCAACGACTTTGCTAGATTGGCGTCAGGCACGAGCATGCTGGAGATGAAGTACGTAACTTTTGTTGACATTTTGATCTCGTCCAACCTTTTACAGAAGGAGTTAGAAGAGGAGAATCGAAAGAAGCTTGAGGCTGTGGTATTTCAAGCTGTTGGTTTCCGGAAAGTAATTGATGCAATCGAAGCATCGGGAATTCCCCTTATTGGACACAACTGCCTACTCGGTAACCTTTTCGAAAATCATACGGCCAGCTTCTTTTCACACGTCCCATGGTGGGGGTCAGCATAGGCTTAAATATCATGCCCGTCTGATTCCATATTTAAGCTATGCAAGCAGACGGGCTTGATATATATAAGAAGATCGCATATACCCTTCTTTTGGGATCGTTACAGGCTCGTGCCAAGTTGACAAAACTTTTGTGTTTAATTGCAGATTTAGCCCATCTACATGACAAGTTTCTGGGACCATTACCACCAAACGTGAGGGGATTTTCCGCTTCCATTTCCAGACATTTTCCCTGTATCCTGGATACAAAGTATTTGCTGAAAACAGAGCCTACTCTTCGTGAAGCGAATAGTAGGAGTACGTCTCTGGCCATTGTGTATCAACAACTATGTCAAGGCTTTTCAGACCAAGCTGGAATTCCGGGAAGGTTTTACAATGGAAAACCAAGGATAGTAACGAGGCCTATTTCAAGAGTGAAAGTTGAGATTGCTAGCGAACTTCAAAGGTCAGTGCCCAACTCTTCAGGCTTTGTCAAGTTGTGCACGATAGTTGAAACTAGTACTTTGTGAATCCAGGTGTACTACGATCTATTTCAGCTGTCTGCAGCTTGAATGTCTTTACAATGTTCATGGTAACATGTTGATCACAATGTATATACTTCGCGAGACCAACCTGAAATCATCACATAGCCTGAGAAAAGCTTTGTATTATACCTTCATGGTGCCTGTTTCTTGGCTTAGGTTAAACTTGGGGCATAATGTTTTCTACTACGACATGCTGAACGCCCTGTTCTTATTTACTCCAGGTATTCTGGTGGAACAGATACCGGTTTGAAACATGAAGCAGGTTTTGATGCGTACATGACAGGGTCGGTCTTTGCTCAAATTTGCCATCTGTTACAAGTAGACACTGCTACAATACGGTCGCTACCACAGGCCGCGATGTCTCAAGTAGATTCACGGCTTGGGTTCGCCAGCTACACAAATCTGTTGATGCTTCAGACTTTCAAGGGACAGTTGGCATTAGATTTGAGAACTGGAAAGGAAGCCCTCGGTGACAGAGCTCCACGTGGACCACAATCCCCTCCTTATCGTTTGCTTAACCGGGAAAATGTCGTCCTTGTTTGGGGGCTCCCTTCGAAGATCCAAGACCCCATTTTGCGCAAAATGGTGCAGAATGTATTTTCGAAGGAAAAGCGTTTGGCTAACGTGGAGATCATCTGTGTCGATGAAAGTTCGGCATTTGTAGAGTTTAGGAGTGCCGCAATATTGGAGGCCTTCATGCGAGCTTTTGAAGTTGCTCTGAGCGACAGTTCGAATTCAGAAGCACTTTTGGATTTAAGAGATTTCAAGGTTGCAAGGTTTGCAGCTTATGAACGAATTTGCAGGTCTCCGTTGTCAACGGAGACGTTAGGGATATCTGCAGACTTGCTAAAAATTAGCCATTTTGAAGACATAGTGGCCATCAACAACAGCAACAGAGCTGAGGTTGCGGAGGTAAGGGCAAGTTCTCATCAGGAGCCATCCAGCTTAAATGGTGGGATTCAAACAACTTGTGTGAATGAATTTCGCTTCAATGAGCATGGGCCTGCGAAAGAAGAATTCGCAGCTGCCAGCTGGTCTCCTGAGGAAGGGTTGATCACTGATGATATTCAGTCTCCTCCAGGCATTTCTTTGGGCACGGAAGCAACGAAGTCCACTGTAGACGTTGATGCAGGGAGTAGCACGAAGAGCATACGTCCGATCGGGATTGATCCCGATTCTCCAGATGCCCAACATGGTCTAGAAGGTGATGAGCGTCCTGCTGTAACAGCTAGTTATAGTAGATGGATGAAACGGGTCTTTGATGAAGATGAGGCATCACCCTCATCACCACCCAAGAAGCGCAGGACCCTTGAAGATCCGAAAGACGTGTAAGTGGAGATGGCAATCGTCCGCACTCCTGATTGTGAATGTCATGTAGGACTTTGTAGCTTTGACCCGACGTGTCACAACATTTGACACTGAAGAAGACAATGGAGGTAAGTTTGTCAGGATTCTTGCACATCCGTGAGATCTAGTAGTGGTCAGTAATATAAAGGTTTTTATCTACATAACAAGTTTAGCTAACTGTGTACAGATATTACATTCACTTTCTTAATTGATTTGACCAACTTAAAGCGACGAGTGGTCATGTGAAACATACTTCAGCTTTTTCATGGCATCTTCTTCACGTCGGGGTCCGGAGAGAAGCTTTTTCAGCGTGTGAGGTGGGGCACAACTCTCCTGTGTGAATATACGGTCCTGTGGTGGTCCATTAGATTCTAGCTTCCATCGGCAACCACAGCTTTTTTGTCAGTCTGTTCAGAGTGCTTATGTAGTCAAGGAGGTCAGCTACATTCACTTCAAACGTTTATGGAAGGCAAGTTCGTTGTTGTCACCAGTGGAGGATGACGGATTAGTAGGACGAATGAAAGAATATGAACTTCACGGGGGAAGAAAACCCGGACACCAAACGTTTTGAGTTGATAGGCAGGCCATCTTTTTTCATCACCCCTTTGGCCTGACGAAAGTTCAACTGGAGCTCAACTTGGCCACACTTTTCATGTCTTTTCATGTCTCGCGGTCTTCTGATTTCATGGAAGCCTTCAAATCTGAAGTGGATGTCTCTGGTTTGTGCGATGTGGAATACTTCTGATATTAGGCTGATCGAACAGGTCCAGATCCATTGGAGTGAGCTTCAGGTACATGTAATATGTCGTGTATCCTAGGATCTCGTGGAAGTAAAGTTTGTACGTCCGGTGGACACATCAAGTGCACAATTGTCACAGAATTTGGCTGTCACATACATCCCGAAAAGAAACCAGTGTGGATGAGCCTAATCAAAACGAAAACATGTGATAATTTCGTGTTTCTTGGTAATGTGATGATTTCGCGCAAATTTTTTGAAGAATAACATTGTAATCACCCTGAGCTCTACGTTTTGGCTTAATTAACCGTGATTCCAAACTCTGTATTTGAATATGCTGTCGCATCGTAGCACCTCAGTGTTTCAGAATAAAAGGGTATTATCATCCCATGATGTCTTCCATGAAAATATGTCTTGCAATACTTAACAAATCTGAAATTTCAAGTTTTACATGATCATCACGAAGTAATTCCGTCATTTTCATTAAATTATACCAACTAGTGATCAAATAAAACATTGAAAATAATTTTATTGAAGTAGATAGATTGTTAAATCAAGGATAGTGATAAATACGAACACTAGTTTATCAATCTTTTCACATTTACTAATACGTCAGGTAATGTTCATAATTCCAAAATAGGATAATCCAACCTTCATCTATGGATGATCACCCATCTAAAAAACCACATAATGTGTAGATAATCACTATTCAGATCTCTGGGACCTATTATTAATCTTACATCTCGTAAATGCGATCTATATCATGTCACACTCACAATACTTCTATGTTAAATATTCAATCTGTCTAGTAACTTGATGGGTAGCTAGCCCTATGAAACTTCATGAGCATGCATGATTATTTTAGGCGACTGTATATTGAGTTGCCTAAATTCTAGCATCTAAATTAACTAGAGTATCTAGATTGTAATAGGAAATCTAAGACATTGAGTTGTGATGATTCATAATCAATATTAATTCGGAATTTGCAAATTCAATTTTCTCTATCACACTATACTCACAGCTCGAAATCAAACTCCCGTGATAATGATTCTTTCTCTCTCTCCCTCTACTTCCAAATATTCTCAAATTAATTCTTAACACAAAAATAATTAAATTAACTTTCTTGATGTAATTAGATTAAACTACCTATTAATATAACCATGTCTACGATGATCAACTACTGTAGTGACATTTGCACTTGTCGTATCTAAACACTACACTCACGTGTGAATAATAAAATTGTAGATGGATGACAAAGCCAAGGTAAAAACTTAGGTTTCGTCGCGACGGTAGACTCCATCTACATAACGAGAGAAGATAGCCGGTGCAAGATCATTGCACACTTGGACGCAAACCTTCATCCTTGCCAGAAAGAATCTGATTAGAATCTCTGGAAAATCTTTCCAGAGAAAGTAGTCGATGTGAGTTAGAAGCTTATACTGCAAGGTCAAACCAAGATACACATAGCGTGGAGGAGCCATACTAGTACAAAGGATGTATCGCATCCACTGAATACGAGTGTAAGAACTTCTGAACATCAAGGTAGAACTTTGGTCAATTTGGTGAATGAAGAAGAAAACAACACAACATGTTGTATCCTCATGGGTACAAAAGTATACAAAAGTAATGAGAGTCAAAATGTATCAAATAGAATAAATGATAACTTCTTATAGCCATGTGTATAACGTATTTTTTTCTCCAAAAGCAACGATTGTCTGTACACATTACTCGTTTTACTCTAAAGATATATCTGCTCTCAATTTAATAAATAAATAAGTGTTACATTCATTTAGTAAAGACTCGATCAGAACTGTTATACTTTTCAAAGTTATTTAATATTGTCACTTTTTCATTAGTGTAACTACGTGACATGAAATTAGAAAATTTGATACAGTCGTCTCTATGTTTCACTTGTGCATTCTGTTTTCAATGATGCATACATTCTGCATACATTCCCTCTGTGTGATCTTGGACAACAGCTTGCCAACTATCCAATCCAAGTAGCCGATGTCACGAGAATATGCTTACCCTTTGAAAACAGAAATGCAGAGATATGTGTATCTTCAGATTGTGATGCGCATGTAGATCAAAACAGGACGAGATTTGGAGTGGGAAGGTACTTTGGCCTTGGAGCACATAGACCAAGTTCGGGATGATGCCAAGTCCTTCTCTTAACCTATATCATAACACGAGAAAGAATGCTTCACCGAGAACAGAATGTGTAATCAGTGCGTTCTCCGAATGACGATGTGAGAAGATGACGACATCTGATGTTGCCTCACACTTTCCCTGATGTTCATAAAGAGGTCCGAATCTTTGCCCTGCTGTGCCTATTCGTAGCTCGAGACTTAAGTTCCATACACGAAACTCTCCTAGACCATCGTACGAACAGATTAGAATAAGATCTAATTCACTGTCAGTAGCCATCTCCTACTCGACCTGCGGCATGAGACCTCATCGATTGCATTCTGCACTCAATTGCAAGGAAATTACAAGCCAGTCTTTCCTGTCCACCGGCTATTTACTCTGGACCGACGAACACGCAACACCCACTCCACCGAGCGGGCCCCTCTACATGCGGTTAAATCTGGAGACAAAAATCGAAGGTGGAGAGTCATTATTACTTGTACAGCCCCTGCTTGAGCTCTACGTGGTAGTAGATCCATACACTTGTCATTGGAGGGTTTCCCACGTATGACAGTCATGTACAGCGTTAGTTCATCCCATACCGATCTAAAGCGTGCAGTGCAGGCTCTCCGCAAGTCCATGCCCAGATTCGATTCCGGTGTTGAGATCTGACTTCGATAACCTCAGGCAGCTGCCTGATAAGAACCTTCAAGAGACGACTGACAGAGTAACACCACCGCCTGCAGAAAGCTCGCACATCTTGTTCACGGATCATATTGCTCGCCATTACATCTGTCATTACCACGGTGGCAAATACGCCATACTTGATGTGCACCCGATTCCATTCTGTTTGATAAGCGCTTTACGACTTGCACTCAGGACGATAAAATGCTGCAGAATGTAAGCCTATCAATACATGACGAAGTGAAGAGTGTAGGGAACTCGACCTTCTCATACAGTCCCAGTACTTGTCTGCGATTCATTGGATATGGAAAGCAACTTGTCCGTCCTTTCTATATCATCCGAGAAGTAAAGCCTTACTGAGTCCTGTCACCTGACGAACGTTCTCAGCAGGGAAAGGTCTAGAGACGGCAGTAGGTTCGCAACCAGATCATCGAAACACCGATGGTATGAAACTGAAAACGAGAGATACACAGAACTGCGTTGGTATGTTTATTGACCGTCTGGGTGGTGGACAAGGTCCAATCGTCGACAGACAATGCTCGCCTTTCCTTCAAGACTTCTCCCCGTGCATTCGAGGACGACTAAAACTATCTCGGGGTAGCCTCGATCGGTTCGTAAGTTGACAAGAATATGGTAAGTACCTGATTTTCCATTCGTGAATTCTACAATTATCGTAGCTGTCCCCGGGGGTCCTAAATTGAGGTCCGCTGTTAAGCTCAGTGTACTTGCATTCAACCAAAAACGCCCGAAGCCAGAAAAAATCCCCTCCATGACTTAGCAGGCATACATACTCGCCTCTCCAATCACAATCAGCAAAAGCAATCTCACCCCACCCAAAAAGTGGCTCGTCCCGAATTCACGAAGGTAATTACGGGTGGAGAAAGCCTCACGATGAGAAACAGCAGCCGACCAAAGTTCAGAAAATTTTATGTACAACGAGAAGATGGAGCTCGATCACGAAAGCGGCGCTGTGATGAGTTGCACGCCGCCACGAGCGTAGTCTTCAGGAATGCATTTCTGCAAATACGGCACGACGCCGGAAATGGGCTGCCCGTCGACGGCTGCGTCGTAAGGGCAGGCGTACTTCTGGAGCCCGCCCTGGTAGCAGATGTCCACGGACACTCCGCGGGTGCAGGTCTGGTTGGCGCGGGGCCGGATCTCCAGGAACCAGGGCTTCAGCGCCCCGTAGGCCTGCGCCAGGCCGCCGTACGTGGAGATGGGCGTGACGAAGAGGTCGTCCGAGAAGCTCAGGCACACGACCTCCGCCAGGGCCTGACGGTCGACCTCCACGCCGAACTCCTGCCGGTCCTCGTGAGTAACCTGAACGAGCGCGACGCTCTCGCCGCCCGCCGAAGGATGGCGCAGGTACAGCCTCGTCAGATGGTCGTGGAGCCCCGTGTACAGGCACGCGATGAACACCGTGACGACGCTGCGCTTCGGGTGCGCCGCCTGCGCGACGTGAGAGTCGTCCGTCCGCTCGTCGACGGAGACGTCGACGTTCGGAAGAATGCCGTTCGCCCGAGCGCACTCCGTGATCCTGGCGTTGTACAGCTCGTTCATCTTCCGGTAGTGCGGGGTTCCGTCCTTGTAGCGGACCTGGATCCCCACCCTCCGATCGGCGTGCGCCAAGTACGCGTCGTCGATGCGAATGCTGCGGTCCCACACCGTGTCGCCAGGCAGCATGACCGTCCGCAGCAGGTGCGTGAGCGCCATCCGGTCGGGAAACAAGGCTTCCAGCGTCGGGCGGAACGACCCCACGGCGAACAGATTGGGCAGCGTGTACAGGCAGCCGGTCATGTAGAGCCACGGGACATCCCGGTACTCCTCCTGCTCCTGGCTGCAGAAGAACCGGTCTCTGGGGTGCCACTGGTCCTTCACTTTCCCCGAGTCGTAAGTCACGGCCGAAGCGTAAGGTCGCGAGCCGGTCGCTCCCGAGAGGTTGCGGGCCGGTTCCTTCATCCGGCGGTCGAAGTCCTTGTAGAAGTACTGCGGCAGCTGCCAGAGGGACGGGTGGCTCAGGGGCGGGTACGGGACGGTGGCGTTGTCCACTCTCCACGACGAGCCCTCGAACGGCTCGCAGAAGACGAAGGGGAGCAGAGTGGCCGTCGGGACGAGGACGACTCTCTGAGTCAGAATCGCGTACAGAATGTTGGACAGAACGACGAGCACTTTGTTGCCCAATCCTGCTCCAGGCATCACATCCGCGACGAGAAATCTGCATCCATTGCTCGTCGACTTCGACATGAAGTAGTCCGTGAGATTGCCCGACGTTCGCAAGCAAGTGCGGTGCAGCCTCGAGTACTCCCTGAGAACCTCGTCCCACTGTCCATTGCGTTCCACGTCCTGCACGTGCTTTCTGCGGGCGTACTTGGGCAACAGCTCCCTCCGGCTCCTGCACGGGTTCTCGGCATTCCATGCATTCCTATCATCGTCACTGAAGCTCGGCTCCGCTCCTCCTCCTCCTGCGGCCACCCGAGTGGCCTCCTTGATTGCTCTCACCAGCTTCGTTACCTCGGGGTCCAGCTGCACGGGTGGAAGTGGTGCTGGACTCGGATCCTTCGCAGCTCCTGAACCTGTTGTCCCTTTCCTCTCGAGCGCTTCCTCGTCGAAGATTGACTCGACCGGAATTTCGGGCGAGGCGATTTTTGTGCTGTCTTCGGTTACTAGATAGAGGAGCAGGAAAATCACAGCCGTGGTGACTGCCACCAGCACAAATTGAGGATTTCCGACATGCATCGTGGCGGAAATGTGCGCTCCTACACTCCTGCAGAAATATCTCTTCTACGTCAGAAGAACTTCCCGAGACCTCGACCTGGAGCCCAAAATCCTCATGACCTCGATTCGATCAATGTGCTCCTCAGCTGAAACTCTACACAGCAACCCTGCGCGCAGACTCATCCTGCCAGCTACCACAACCAAATGCACCGAGAGTGAAGCATCTGAGCTCCATTACTTGCCGTGACAGTGCCATCCGAGAGACATCCGAGAACTGGTGCGCAAAATCACAGTCTGACTCTCTTACCATCGTTCTGCGCATTGAGAATGGAAGGAATTCCGCTGAACAGGGAGGAAGGCGTCTGGCAGCTCTCGATGCTGGCCTCGTCTCGCGAGGCTGGGCGCCCGACCTGCCCGCGTGTCGGAGAGTGAGCGTAGGCTCAATCATCGACTCCGATTCCCGAATCTAACTTCATTCTCTGGCACACGCAAAGCTCGGCAGAGCTAGAGTCCTAGACGCTCGAGTGCTCTGCTCTAGCTTCAGACCAAGGTCCTGGCCGACTTTCTCGCTGTCTCTTGGAACCTCTGCCTGCGACGGGGGAAGTGAAGTGAAGGAATCGATCCCTGGTCGACATTCAAACGCTGTGCACTGCAGCTTCCCCCCAGCCCCTACCCAACGAGAGAAGCACTCTGAGCAAGCAACCATAGCCCGCAAAGCTGGAGCCCGTGAGAACCACCAGCAACTCAGACCCAGCGAGCCTAAATCTAATCTAATCTAGCTCAGACAACGATGGAGCGAGCAGCAGAGACGGCCATCAACTCTTCGTCCTACGAGACCGAACATTCAAGGGACGGGATTAGTGGCAGGCATCAGAATCTACTTGATGTTCAGGTCAAAGTAGCCAAAGACAGGGCAGTTGGGGAACTGCTTTTGGCTCCAAAGTGCTCTGCTGCTCGTCAGTAAAGCGAACGTGAAGAAACTACAAGGGAGAGGCCGAGAGACTCAGAGACACAGACACAGAGAGACAGAGAGAGAGCTTCGGCTGCATCTCGTCTGGACATGGCATCTACTGGCACACAGAGAGCCACATGTTTCCGCGCATGTCTGTTGCTCCAGAGAGCGCAGGTGGCTGTGAATATGATTTCAGATGCAAGCTGCCGAGGCACGGCCGATGTGACCCACCGGACCTACACTACACGAGCGTTCGTTTGCCCCATTCTCAGATCGCTCGGGCCCATTTACGTCGTCTGTACATTGCCCCGAGTCCTCGACTGCATTCTATTTGGCGGAAATTCTGGACCTCTCTCTCTCTCCGCCGTCGGGAGTCCCTTTTCAAAAGCTTTTCGGCTGCAAATTTCGTGAAATTTTCGCGAAATGCTAGCGGCGTCTAGAAATGTCTGAAGATTTAGATGATATAAAACAATCCAAATCTTAGAAATTTATTGTAAAGATGGAATCTGAGTTTATTCGTGTTACTGATGGGGTCACATTTGCAAAATAAGCATGTTAGTTCTTGGGAACATGTTTGGAATTGGAAGAGAGCGAGAGAAAGGCCCCACTCCACGTTGTGCTTCCCAGGACCCTGAACTGTGCACATTTTCTTCGTGTTCAAGACTCAAATAAATTTGGGCCTTTTCCTTCATCGTTCTGTCATTTTTCATTTTTCGTGGATTGTCATGCACGAAGAAGTTTCGGGAAATCTTTTAATTCCGGGAATTCCTAGTGTTGTACAAAATCGTGAAGCGACCAAGGAATGGAGACAGTCAATGACACATTTGGACTTTGAATTGACGTCTTGGCGTATACTACTTATTTGGGTTTATAATATCCGCTACTAAGTCCTTCATCCGACAGTCATTCTTCCACAAGTCTCCGACATTCTGATCTCTTAATCACTGGATGTAAAAAGCAGCCAAGAGAAAACTTGAAATGGTTGCTCTGAAAATGCTTAAGATATTATATTTGTGCGCTTATATGTCTCAAAGTTTCACGTATCGAAAATGTGGACAAGTACGAAAGTGATTCAAGGGACGAGTCTAAAACTTTGTCTACTGTACTTCATGTGAATGACATTTGACCATATTCTTTCTACCAGGACTAGGACTACCTCATGAATTGTTACGCCCTTTTTTATATTAAAAGTGAGTTGCTAATACATGTTCTCATCGCTTGATCCGAACCGAAATTGACACTTCGGAACAGCAACCAGCACACGATACGAGGGCTGGTGTGCTCATGCCAGAATGATGAGCTCGTTTCTTAGAACATGATGGAGTAAGAAATGAAGTAATAACATTTGCACCCATAAAATACCTCAACCCTCCTGCAAATTGCATCTGTCTTGGCCGCTGAATTAAACAACAAGATGGAATCCATGCGATTGTTTTCCCCGGCTATTGCAAAAGTCAATTCGTGCAGATGATCTGCGAGGTACTGTAATGCATTACCAGACCTTCCCCTGAGTGGTGTCCCTACTTCTCCCTTATAGCGTCTACTCCGTACGCTCGTCTGGATACGTTCTTGGTCTCGGCCTCTTAGCCTGCACGGCCGTATGAGTGGCACACGCACATCAACCATGAGAACTTTCCACGTGCGGTATACTTTTTTGTGAAATTCGCATTGCTCCTTTACCTTCTTTACAGTCATTGATTTCAAAATGTGGAATGCGTCGTTTCCACAACTTCGAACAGTGTGAAATATGCAGCAAGAATATTGTAAACCGCTCAGAGTATCATTACCAGTCCTATGGTTCGGAAAGTGACTGAATGATCGTTTTGAAAGATTTCAATTGGTCAAAGCCAATCTCAAAGCAGTGTCACCTGAAACGTGAAGTGAGTGACAGCTCGTGCGGCTATAGGAAAATCTGGATAGGGCATAGTCTACGGTAGATTACTGAGATTGAGTCTGAAACGGAGATTACAAAGTACTTTGCAACTACGTACAACGAAAAGAAAGGCACTTTTCTGAAGTTTCATTCATTCAATCATTCATTCTTTCCCGCAGACAGATGTCAGGGTATCTTCTGAAGTGTTGTCAAAAGTTTTCTGGAGACAAATATAAGTCTATTCAGTCAATTATATTTGAGAGGAGAGGAAGATAAAAGGAAGAAACATGACTTTATACGCGCCAAGCTGTTAAGCGAGTCGGACAAGAAGTTTGCTTGTAAAATGCTACATTCGAGGTTAGCTACTCTGAACCTGTTGCATTTGTGGGATCCATGTTGTGCACATACAACATCGATGTTTAAAGCTAAATATGGGCTTTGAGACAACTCGGAGCCCATATTCAATCACCATTAGGGCAAAAAAAGGAACAAGTATCTCTCTAGAAGTGTGAGCTGGTACATACACGAGTCCCATTTTGGACGTATGGACTTCCGGGGTAGAAGGTCTTAGAACCGCAAAGATTGCATTAGCTGTTAGACTATTGCCTTTTCATTTCGTACGTATTTCCATACTTCCTCAGCAAGCATAATTCACAAAAGTTCGTTGAGATTTTAAATCTTTCATGTATCAAACTTAAGGTCTATTCTTTTATTTCATAAAGCTCTCTCTCTCTTGTCTACGTGGTATGCACCCGTACGCAGTTAAAGGCGTGAGCACCAGACAAGAGTTATTTAACGTCTTTGCAAGCAAAAAAGAATTAAATCAAGATCTAATTACATTTCTGGCACCCGGACAAGTTATATTTCAATCAATCCCGTGATATTTTCAGTGATTTGAGGAACGTAGTTACAGAAGTTTCACATTCGACTTCAGTTTTGTTGGGATTTTAAATGAATATATATATATATACATACATACATACATACAGAAGTTTCACATTCGACTTCAGTTTTGTTGGGATTTTATATATATATATATATATATATATATTTGTTTTTGCTTGTGCTGATTTGTGGTTGAACATGTAGCACTAGTTTCAGCAAGGGCTTTGATTAAGAACAAAACAGATCTCTGACGCATCGGTTGTCATACATATACGGTGCAGCACACTACTTGAGGCCTCCAGCATGTATCCTTGTTGCACATAACCTAATATCGATTTATCCAGTCATTGTTCATTTCTCAACTCTGATTTACTTATTATTTCTTAGTTGGAAAACCACTACGTAGATCATTGGGTTACTGTGAGATTATATGCAAGTAATTGCAGAAACTTAAAGAGATGAGTGAAAGAGCTTTAAACCTCATACTGCACAAAGAATCGTACGGTTCGTCTAGGCATATGCATGAAGACTATCTAAAAACCATACTGAAAATGAAAAAGATACCTGTTTTTCACAAGTTTTCTTTTATGAACTTTCTAGATTTAAATTTTGATTAAAAATTGGTGGTTTTCATATATTGAAGCCATTGAGTTATACCTCAAATTATTACTTGTTCTTTTGAATATTTTGAAGATTTTTACGAATCCTATCGTTCACTTAAAGTATCTCTATAAAATTGTGTAAATTTTCAGATTTTCCGAATCAGCAAAAGACAACTCTTCTTACCACTTTACGGTTGTTACTTTTCATGCTTGTATTCACAAAAGAGTACTCGAGTTATACCTACGACTATCCTAGCGTTGACATTTAGTTATAAAAACATGTTGACATTATAGAAATGTTTCAGAATTTATTTGCTTTTGGTTTGCGGAAAATTCATGCTATTCCAAGTGAACGATGGGTGATTGTTGAAGAGCATGGGGACAATTTTATAGAAAATCTCTAAAAGGTTTTCTGACAAGCACTTGAAGTAATTACTCTCACCTGTATTTGAATTTGCTCTAGGGCCAAATTTTTTTTATTTGAACAATCTTACATAACGCCATACTGGTCAAAAGAATGAACTCTATGTAAGGCGTCATACACTTAAATGTAATCAACAAATCTTACTTATTTTGGAAACCGTGGGTATGGTACGGAGACAGCCAAGTACACGTTGAAGACAACTAATGTGTGGTTCAACTTCTGTAAGCAAGTGTTTCGTTCTTTAGAAAACTTATTATGAGAGTTTTCTAATTCTGAAACAATTCTCCTTGATTGTCATTTGTAATAATAGATTCAGATTACTATTAAATATAAGTCAAGGCATTTGGTAACTACATTGTTATATAGAGTAAATAGTTACATCAATTTTATGTACAATACTAAACATAAACATTATAAATAATTTAAGGTAAAAGCTAGCTATCCTTCACTTGGATAATTATACCTCACCTTACTCTATCACATATCTTCATAACTATGTAAATTAGTCATATGTCTATTTGAAGCAAATTAGTTACAAATCCTTAATGAGATTAGACATGATTATGCATCATTGTTTATAGGAATCCAAGACAGACATTTCAATCAATTTCAATTCAATTTTCTAGAGGAATAACTCTATGTGCAAATTATTTGATCAATTTCAACAAGAATTTCTCACAAAAATAATTTGACATGAAAAAGTTTTAGATCTAAGTAAATTTTACTCAACCCCTGTTTTTCATAACAACAAGTACGTACAGAATCAATTTGAGTAATTGATTAAAATAATCTGGAAGTCTCAAATTGATTGAGTCGCTATTGAATTTTGATCTCGCTTTCTTCCGAAACAATCATGATTTCACTTGTACATGGAGCAAAACTTTGCATATTGTTATCAAATTTTATCAATTTAAGAAAGATATCATCTACAATCAAAACGATGCTTCTGTTATATAATAAAGCGGCTAATATCACGACCTTTAAGTTTCACTAGTTCAAAAATTTACACGGGTGGAGAATCCATATCACTTTTTGAGCCACGTTCATCTTGCAATGTTACGAAATCCATAAATTCATCCACGATATCAAATATAAGGAACTCAATGTTCCTGTAATCATCTTTAGTTAGTTAGAACCAAAGTAGAGTTTACTCTAAATATTGATATAGATACTTTAGTATGCATTAGTTAAAGCTGTCACGTCAACGATCCGCGCACTTGGTAGATATAGAGTAAATGTGTTAGTTGACAGTGCCACGTCAGCAATCCGTGTGCTTGTAGGTAAGGATTGAGTGTATTAGCTAGTGTGTTAGTTGGGAGCGCCACGTTAGCGATCCGTGTGCTTGTTAGGGTTATCCACCACGTAATCCATCCACTATGAGTGGGATGGATGGTGGGGATAAGATCTTATCCCCACCATGATCTCCTTGTACTTGTTGGTGAAAGCTATATAAGGGAAAGGAGAACCATTGTTGGTTCTCCTTTCCCTTATATAGCTTTCACCAACAACTCATCTTTAGAGTTTACGTTTCTATCTCGAGTGAAATTCTCTCTAAACCCTAGTGTTATAGTTCCAAAGAAGTAATTGACGAGTTGATTTTATTGAGATTGTTGATTGTAATCGAAGAAAAATGTCCAAGATCTTCAATGAAACATGTGATGTCAATATAGGAAACAAAACAATTGTTGCATAATGACATAAGTGTATTCGTACACATTTTCAAAGTTGGAGTTATGATTTGCATTGATCTTAAATAGTAACTCATCAATTAATAGTTTTTTGTTGGTTAAGTGTCAGACGATGACCTTGGAGGTGCATCACAGTCGTATGTATGGCACTTGTGATGCTCCTTGTGACAGCATTCAGAATACACTAGATGTCACTTTTAGGTTGAGATGCATGTCGAAAAGATTCCACTGGAATTTCAAAATATTGGGCACCGATTTTATGACGATGATCATCGAGCCAACTTGTGACACTAAACATGGCGTGTCATTAGGACGCAAATATGTTGAAACAAGCTGATTTCATTTTGCAAATAAGCTTTTGATGTCGCAGCATATGCAAGATCATAGATACTAGTGTTGCATATCATGCATCTCCATCAAGCTTCAGACATGACTCCTCTAGCGGAATATCCAATTCATGAAAAATACACCACATACAAATGAAACCTTCCAGTGAACAATGTTGAATAGGCGTGATAATACGAGCAAGATGACCAGTCATGTTTCAAGCTGGTCTGACAATGCATCAATTAATTGATTTTTCCAATCGGGAAAGATTACATCAAAAAATTTGCATGGAATTTCAAACTGTGACAAACAAGTATGAGATCCATAAAACAAAATTGATATAAAATGCAAATTATAAAGCTGGCGTTGCCAATTAAAACAAGCACAAACATCTATGTATGAAGTATTCATGCAAGTTGAGTCATCCAACGCAATTGAAAACTTCCACATCATGCATAGAATATGAGAAATGATCTGGAAATTGACACCGCATTGGACGCGTGCAAATGTAACAATTTTCAAATCATTCATTCTGTTGAGCTTGGAAACCATGACAACTTACATTGTTGCATTAAGCGTCAACTCAATCTGCATGAGACTAATACCAATGACAATGTATTCAAATGCAAGCTTGGACCCGAAACTTTGACATTGAATAGACTTGGACCAGAAACTTTGACGGAGCTATGATTGAACAACTCACAAAGCTCCCTCGCAGTGGGATGAATTCCCTACGACAAACTTGTACACAGAAGTAATAACATTGAGTAGAATACGAAAGATGTCGTTGAATGGATAAGAGCATCTTAGTTCTCCGGGATGTCAAAAGAAGAACGTTGTTGAAGTTCTTGCGTGAGCAACAACATAAAAACATATTGTGAAAACACAATCAAGATGTACGGAGGCTTTGGTTTTGATGTCATCCGACCTTCATCGATTCTGAAGCAAGGATTCGCCATGAAGATCTTAGAATTTTCTTGTTGCTTCGTTAATGCAATTTGTCGATGAAAGTTCAAAGTAAAAAAAATGAGTTGAAAGTCTTGACCTCATTCATGCCTTTCCGCGATGGAATTGAAGCCGAATGCAAAAGAAGACTGCGCAATGTAATAATTCCAGAGTTTGCCGGCTACGACAGAACCTTTCAAGCTATAACATGTAACATGGATGCGGGAGCACGGTTCTCGAGCGCCCACAATGTAATACTGACCCGCTCGCAACAATAGATAGATGAATAAGATGTGATTGGTTAGATATTTGTGATACAATAGGATGAAAGATAAGGGAGAGACTAATTAGCCCTCATTCACATTATGAATACATGACGGTCACATCTCAACAGTCTCCCGCCACCGTCTCTCACTGCTGCCTAAAACGTGGTACAGCCGTCAGGCTTTGGATTTCCAACCTACGCAGACCGCGCACACTAATCTCCGTCACACTTTGGATTTTCAACTCACTCCGTTTGTGTACACTAATCTTTTTTGAAACTATCAAAAAACTTGATCTGCCGGCGGCTTGTTGAAAGTGGTTATATCAATTTGTTTCATCGAGTGGCTTCTATTACATCGCCTATGGGTTCGTAGAGGTCACTTCTCAAATGTCTTAGTCCATTTTCTCGTTCGGGCTGAAAAGGAATGAAAGCTCCACCTTTTGAGTAATGAATGCTCCTTAAGAACTACTTACAGTTTATTACAATTCAAAATTTATTGGGTTTATCCATATTATCAACTTGTTCTTCCGTATTTCAGAATATTGTAATTTCCATTACAACTTTACACAAAAACTTCTGATGTTCCGTGTTCAATTTAATATGACTTCAAACAATCTTCAAAATGATTCATCGTTCAATTTCATATGACTTCAAACAATCTTCAAAATGACTCATCTCTTTACTACGGATACTTAACCGTAAGATAATGTTGTGGATCCAAGATTTCTCAAGTTACTGTATCTTGTTTTACATGCATCTAGCTCTACACCCAAATATGATTGATGGGTGAAATCGTTCCGCGTGCCTAAACTTTGATGTGACAAGCCTGAGCTCTGTTAAACTTGCTACAACAATATAAGAGCGCTTCGGGAGTGTGTGTAATGCACTTCTTTGAACGTGAATCGTGCAACTCTGGAGATAAACAACCATTGCTGATTTGTGGCTAGAAACGCCCAAAACCCAATCGCGGCACAGCTGAGAATTCGTGCCTGTGCAGCACAGGCAGTGCTGTGTCTCGGCGAACAGTATTGACACAGCGGAGGTACGTGAAAGAAGCAAAGGATATGCCATTCCCGGCATGTAGAAGAGGAACAAAACTCTACTGCACAATCAAGAGCAGGGACCCACTCTTAGCTAAAATTTCGCATCAGTCGCCTCCGACCATAGAGTCTTGGGACTCAAGGTCACCCAGTGTCTCCGCTTGGTTTCAATCCAGGCAATGTGGTAGACCCCTGAAAAGATTAAAGTGAGATGCACAAAGTTGTGGGGTCCGCCCCTCTCAGTGTCCCACTCGCTGCGAAACACATTATGAGCCCCCTGTTACACTAGGGCTTGTTGAGAACGGAATTGAGCATGAGCCCATCGTGGGGACACCCACCGGCCACTCTTTTCCTGTGAATCTGTAGCGGACCCTGAGCCCAATCAGACACTCCACTCCCACCCGCCTTCAAACCTTGGTCAAGCGCAGTGGAGGTCACCGTCTGGTGATCAGACAATTACTACGAAAACCTGGAGGCTCACATCTGAGAGCCTATGCGGCCTTCGCAGCCCCTCTCTACCCAAAGCCATAAATAAGGAAATGGATTGTTTCACAAAAAGCCTGGTCAAAGAGTGTCCGAGTTTCAGGTTTGGAGAACGTCGTCATCGCCCTGCTTCGATGGATAGTATCCTCAGCCGAAGCTAAAATCATCTGACATTTAAGATTCGCCTACAGCCGAGACAGAGGAAAAGCTTCGACGCAGCCACTCAGTCTTCAGTGTACGCACTTATGCTCATCTCTTTCCCTTGCACCTAGCAGAAATTTGCGTATTAAGTTGGAGCCCGCACAAAGATCACGGAGGAATACAACCTGCAACCACGCTATCGGATCTAATGAAGAGAGGACATATCACATGCACCTCCATAGCCGATTCGATCCGGTTCAATTCAATTCGAATTCAAAGTAGTATGACAGATCACTGCAGATTCTAATCGGGCTTTTACTCAAGGGCAAGTAAATACGGCGAGTAGTCCAGATTGTATAACACTGTAGGCATATGAAGCATTACGGGAGGAATAACACTTTCTCATACTTCCTACAATTTTGCACCAGATCCCATCCAATCAGTCCAGTAGACTGATATGTTAGTAACCCACTTTCGCAACCTATGCAGAGAAAAGATCTAACGACGTTAGACGGGTTTTCAATTGATTTCATACCACTGATTGACATCACGACCAACAACAACAGCTGGAAAGAATGCCTGGAATATCGCACCGGCATGTTTATTGACCGTATCTGTAACGAAAAAAGGAGAAATCCTTGGCAGGAAAATCCTTTCCCTTCTTTCAGTAATTCTCTTCGTGCGTATGAATGATGCCTAAAATTTTCTCGGGGTCGCCGCTGTGAAATAATTGAATGACCCGATCAAGCAGTAAGTTACAGAACACATGAGAAGTCCATGGTTTTCCATGAGTGTAACTGTCCAATATCGTCACTGTTCCTTGGTGTGCTAAAATGGCATCCGCTGAAACTCGAATATCTTTTTTGACTTTTGATGATAAAAACCTCAAAGCATCTATCACCAATCAGCGCACAATCTCCGAACACGTAGGGTATCAACTCCATGTTCAACAGGCACGCAGTTGGCGCATACTCGCCTCTCTCTCCAAGAACATTCAGCTACCTCCACAGCGGCAATGTACAGAAATGGTGTTCCACCCCAAAATCGCAGAGGAATTGGCCGTCCGTCTCGTCCGAGCTTCACGATGGCTTTACATCTCGAAGTACAAAAAGTTGATCGTCGAGCAGCTCAGAATTTACTCGACAATCAGAAGACGTCTCACCAAAGTCCACCAACGAGCATGAAAGTCAAATTAATATATACAATTGCAACCACATCTGGGCGTAACAAAAAGTGGGCCCAGGACGATTCGCCCCTGCTATGAAGGCAGCACGCTGGAATGGTTTGTGATGAGCTGGACGCCACCACGAGCGTAGTCTTCAGGAATACATCTCTTCAAATAAGGCACCACATGCGAAATTGGCTGCCCATTCACCTTGGCATCATAAGGGCACACGTATTTCTCGAGCCCGCCCTGGTAGCAGATGTCCACGGACACGCCCCGGGTGCAGGGTTTATCGACATTGGGTCTGATTTCGAGGAACCAGGGGTTCAGCGCGCCGTAGGCCTGCGCCACGCCGCCGTACGTGGAGATGGGCGTGACGAAGAGGTCGTCCGAGAAGCTCAGGCACATGACCTCCGCCAGGGCCTGCCGGTCAACCTCCACGCCGAACTCCTGCCGGTCCTCGTGAGTGACCTGCACGAGCGCGACGCTCTCGCCGCCAGCCGAGGGATGGCGCAGGTACAGCCTCGTCAGATGGTCGTGGAGCCCCGTGTACAGGCACGCGATGAACACCGCGACGACGCTGCGCTTCGGGCGCGCCGCCTGCGCGACGTGAGAGTCGTCCGTCCGCTCGTCGACGGAGACGTCGACGTCCGGAAGAATGCCGTTCGCCCGCGCGCACTCCGTGATCCTGGCGTTGTACAGCTCGTTCATCTTCCGGTAGTGCGGGGTTCCGTCCTTGTAGCGGACCTGGATCCCCACCCTCCGATCGGCGTGCGCCAAGTACGCGTCGTCGATGCGAATGCTGCGGTCCCACACCGTGTCGCCCGGCAGCATGACCGTCCGCAGCAGGTGCGTGAGCGCCATCCGGTCGGGAAACAAGGCTTCCAGAGTCGGGCGGAACGACCCCACGGCGAACAGATTGGGCAGCGTGTACAGGCAGCCGGTCATGTAGAGCCACGGGATGTCCCGGTACCGCTCCTGCTCCTGGTTACAGAAGAACCGGTCCCTGGGGTGCCACTGGTCGTCGAGGATCCACGGCTTCCTCAGCCCGAGGCTGGTCACGGCCGAAGCGTACGGTCGACTGCCGGTTGCCGCTTGGCCGGCCGAGTCTCTCATGGAACGGTCGAATTCGTCGTAGAATTCCTGCGGCGGCTGCCAGTGCGAGGGATGGCTCAGAGGCGGGTAGGGGATGGAGTCATTGTCCACTCTCCAGGACGAGCCCTCGAATGGCTCGCAGAAGACGAAGGGCAGCAGAGTGTCAGTCGGCACGAGGACGACTCTCTGCGTGAGAATCGCGTACAGGATGTTGGACAGGACGACGAGGATTTTGTTCCCCAGGCCCGATCCGCCCATGACATCGGCGATGAGAAACTTGCACCCATTGCTGGTCGATTTCGTCATGAAGTAGTGCGTGAGATTGCCCGAGGTTCGCAAGCACGTGCGATGCAGCTTCGAGTATTCTCTGAGAACCACATCCCACTGCCGATTGCGCGCCACATCTTTGACGTGCTTTCTGCGCGCGTACTTGGGCAGCAGCTCCCTTCTGCTCCGGCACGGATTCTCGGCGTGCCAGGCATCCCTCTCGTCGTCGCTGAAGCTCGGCTCCTTTCCTCCTGCTGCCACTCGAGTGGCCTCCTTGATTGCGCTCACGAGCTTCGCGACCTCCGGGCGCAGCTCCACGTCGGGCGAGGACGGACCCTCGTCTGCTGCTGAATCTGTCCCTCTGCTCTCGAGCGGTTCCACTATGAACAAGGATGCGACGGGAACTTTGCTCGAGGCGATTGTCGTGCTGTCTTCCGTGACGAGGTACAGAAGCAAGATTATCACGGCTGTGCTCACTGCCACCAGCACCACTTGAGGACTAACGATGTGCATCGTGGCAGCCAGGAAATCTGTCCCCACTAAGCTAGAAGAACAAACTTTCCTCGACCCTGACCGAAGACCCGAATCCTCATGCCCTCAATTCCGAATCCTCAGCCCTGGCCCCAGACTCACCGCGCCAAGCGCCACAACGATGTCGACAGTCAATGTGGCATCTGACCACCACTCTTTCTCTTGATCGTCTCATCCTCAAGAAATCCGAACAAGCGCACTGATTGATCCAATTTCCTGCTGGGCTTCAATCCCACAGCCGTCACAATCCCCCAATCCTTACGACGGTGCCCCTAAAGCGAACGAGGACCCGATCATCGATTCCAATTCCAACTCCAATTCCTGACTCAATTCCAAATTCTGACCTGACCTCTCTCCGCCGGCCCAGGAGCCAAGCTGTGGAGGGCTCGGGCGAGTCCCGAACACTGAGGCTCGCTCGCTGCAGGCCAAGCTTCTCGTCAATGGAGACGAGCGTCTGAATTCTCTCGGCACATCTGCCACTGACAGAGGAGCCGGGAGCAGGCCCTTAACATGGAAAACCTGCCGCGTCATCGATGGCACGGCTGCTGACGTGGGCGCCCCGACGGGACCCGATTTCCCGTCTCAAGATTCCGGGGAGAAGGTCGAACGCGAGGCTCCTGCGAAATGGTCGCACCCTCTAAAGTTGGACTGGGCTGCCGTGGACGCGATTCGATTCGTGTGATCTGACGTGACGCTTACACGTCAGAACACTGTGCCTCTTCGATGACTTCGCCCTCGCTCTGCCTGCACCCCGGGACTCCGCCATGACCGGCTGGTGGCTGGCTGGCTCGCTGAGGTCCGTCGGGTACTCCCGTGGACGTGACCGACGGTCATATAGCCCTGGCCAGTGGGGCCCTTTAGGACCAAACCTAAACCTCGCCCCTCTCCTCTGCATGTGGGCGGTGCTTTGTGTTTTTTGACATTTGACAGAATCCTTCACGATGGTTCTTCGCCATCGTGTTTTTATTCGATGCTTCCCCATTTTCTCTTCCGGACAGCCTGTGAAGCTGGAGGATTTGGACAAGTATATTCGACAAAAAGTATTCTTTTTCTTGTTTAGATTCTTTTGTTCCCCATCAACATCGGGTGAAGGAGTTGACACATGATCACTTTTCACAATGTACGTACCCTTAAGTTTTGATCAATCATTCATCGCACAGCTAGTGTGAAGCTCACTTACGAGAATCAATGTCAAAACAATTGATCTGATGCACAGTATACGAGACACAACCTGTAAAATATTTCATATTCATACGTTAGAAGTTTATAATTATAAACTTACACGTTACCCCAGTAGCAAGATTTTGTGATTGTCCCATGTACTGTACATAAAATTCTGCAAGTATCAATTATACTTCTAAATTTTTTCTTTTTGTCAAAAAAGAAATTAAAAACTAATAATTTTGTAATTAAAAATAATTTTGAAATCTCACATCCTAAATCATGACCTGCCACATAAGTGTTAGATCAACAAGTGAGAAAATTACTATTATTCGGAAGATACACGCGAAGTGTATTTATAATGATTGTAAGAAGACGTATCATAGCTTTCAAAAAACAAGTCTTTTGGGGTATTGTCTAGATCAAAAGTTTTGATAGTCAAAATTCTAAAGTGAAATATATACTCCCAAAATCTTTAAAACTCAATTACCTCAATTCTTTATTTCATAGTTCCAAAATGATTCATGATTAAAGAATCATAAGGTTAATGTTATCCGCACCCTTGAACAAATGTTGGAATCCAACATCAGTTTATCATCTAATATAGGAGTTTATAATAGACGTGATCTTTCTTTACGTTGTGAATAATTAATCTTCAATAAGTGTTTTTCCATATGTATGTATGTAGTGTGTCCATCTTGATTTCTTGTATAGATGGGCCGCTACGTGCAAGTTTAAGGGTATCAAATGAGTTTAAAGACTCGGTGCTGGGATTTCACAAAGCCTAACTCTGCCCATGGCTCACAAAAAGAAAACATATTAAATAAATAATGTGTCATCATGTAATACATACCAACAGTTTAGATGACTATCATTGATTATTGATTTCAAGTTTTCAATTTGCAAAGAGTCCATTCAACACAATTAAAATCATAAATTGCCTCAAACCAAGAGAAAGTTAAAATGAAAAGAGAGATAGATGCCAAAAAACAGAGATTTGTGATAGATAAACTAACTGTAATCAAGGAGTGTTGTTGCAAGAATCTTGCACAACTGCAGTATAAAGAATATTAGATCCTCTGTGCAGTTTCTACTTTCTTTTGAAAGTGATATACTATTCATCTCAATAATTGTAAGGATCTTTGATTTGTCTGTTTCTGGATCTTGTAAGCTTCTAGGAAGCTACATTCATCTCATCTCGTTTGTGTTGTTTATTTGTGCGTACCAACTTTCTCTATGATTGATGTTTAATTCTAAATGCAGAGTTCCAAATATGAAACCAAAATTGATGGAGGCAAATTGTAATCCATTTTTTATACTGTTTTTCATCGTACATATTTTACAAGTTTATAATCTATGATTTCTTATTTCCCTTTTTACTATCATCATTTAACAACATTGTTCTCATTGGTGATATTCTGAAAGTAGCGAGAATAACTCATCTGCAACATTTGTTCATAATTCAGATTGGTTACAAAGAGTAGGAAAAGAGAGAAAGAAGGCAGTAATAAGCCTAGCTGGATACATCTGGGTTTTATATTGGGTCTGATCATTCATTTTCTTCACAAAAGTGTGAACTCGGTCTTTAAGTTCATTGCTCACCATGCTGGGTAGTTGATAGAGTTTCTTTTTGTTTTGGTCAATTCTAGTGGAAATTTATGCAATTTCCAGTATAATTTTTTTTCTCAGATAATCAAGGTTGTCCATTAAAATTTTGAGCCAGTGTTCTGATCAATTTTTTCCGATAAAAAGTTCAATTAATTAGAGTATTCTATTCTAGTCATTTAAAAGTGAATAAAAATTGATTAGTCATACCAAGTACAAGAATTCTACTTGCAATGTAGTTCATACTTTTACAAAACTGTATGGTATTCCATATAGTGATAGTTCATACGACCCATTATTTATAATATGTGATACAATGTTTTCAGCAATGATATAAAATTAATTAGTTCAGATTTTTTTTTAAAAAAAATTATTTTAATAGAAATTGATAACATGACAGATGAATTTGAAATTATCTTTATATTGTAGCATTTAAACTTTTTATTACATTAGCATTCTTAACCTTGTACATACATCAACATATTTATGCTTTCACATAAAAAAAGAAGTATGTTGTATATCATCATGAAGTGTTATTGTCACGTTGTTGATGACATCCAAGCTAGTGAAGTGTAATGATACGGAAGTAGTTGTCATGTAGTTTCGGTATTTACTAAAAATAGCGTTGAGCTAGGGTTTCAAGTCGCGAAGGGTATAGGGTCGAAGACGACTCGACGAACTTTAGTTCTTTGAGTCGAGCATGTTAGCGTTGGGAACTATGCGTCTGCCCGTAAGCGTCGACCTAGAGTCTCTTTGAAGTGGGTTGGAATCAACTTATGTTTGTGACGGTTTTAGTGCCAATAAGGTAATTGAAACTGACGGGTTTTTCAGTGGCGATAACCGCGTATTTTCACTCGAAGATCTTTTCAAATAGGGGTAGATGATTTGATCTTCACATGTTATGAATTGCATATAGGCGACTAACGATGGGGCGACATAGCACCGGGCCTACTGGTTCGCGCACCCACGAAGGTGTATAGCATGTAGTTGTAGATAGTGCTACTTGGGAGTCAGAGTGACCTGACCGCGAGCTAGGGGGGCGAGTTGTGACATTTGAGTGTGTACACCTTATATGTGTATGTGTGCATGTGAGTAGCATGTCAGCGATGTATAGTGTATGGCGATATGTATTCGCACAACATATCTTATATATACAATATGACTTCAAAAAATTAGTTCAAATGTCATTCATTGACTTCTTCTTTTTCATATGAAAAAAAGAAATATAATTTATTTAAATATCAACAAGAAATATTCATAAGAAATTTGAGCAAAATAAACATTTATTGAAATTATCATGAAAAAATTTCAAATTAGAGCTGAAATTTTATTTTCAAACTAAAAAATCATTGATCTTTCAATGTACTACTTTTTTCTGAATAGATATTAAAAAGAATTTTTTAAAAAGAAAAAATATCTAAACAGAATAAAAAATCTTTCAAATTGTGTACGATTTTGAAAAAACCCAAATTTTAGTGATATGAAAATGAAATATATATTCTACTCCATCTGTAATAATCTGGATCTTTTACTCTACTGTTGACATTAAAATATCAAAAAACATGAAATTACATTTTTTGTATACTTCAAGAAATTTGCTAAAACTTCTGAAAAAATTGTTGCACAAAAATCCAAGTAAATTATCTTTTATGTCACCTATTGGTTTAGTTTATCATACATTATTACAGACACATCTGAGATCAGCATTTTATAACTTTGTATATATCAATCTAATGAAAGTTTATCCACATGAGGCTTATGAAAGTTTGTATTATTCACAAAGTTCATTTGCAAATAGCATTTATTTTCTTTGTGAAACTTTAATTAAAAAATATAGAAAAATTTCATTTCTTTGAATTGAAATGATGCAAAAAATCATATCATGGAAACTAATATCTACATTCATCAATTTTGTCACAAAATATCTAACCCGAAAAGTGGTACTATTTACCAAGATACAGAAATAAATTATGCATGTGCAAGATGAATTTCAACAGATTAATCTTATCATCTGCATGATGATAAGAGTTGGAGAGATGTATAGAACTGATTTAAGATTGAAGACATTCAACATATTTTCAAATTTTTTCAGCTAATATATTTGAAGTATATATATGAAATATGTTTGTAACATCAACATGAAATTAGAAAGTTAATATAAGTTAATACATACAAAGCTACAAAAACATCCAAGTCTATAAATTTTATGTGAAACTAAGAATTCAGATTAGATAATTGGATTTATGTTGCATCCCTCAAGATGAACAAGGTAATCAAGTAAAACATTGAGAAGATACATGAAATACTAATTGGACGAAGTGAAGGGGATGAGAAGGAACTAGATTACAATTGCATCAGAATGAAAAAAAAATTGTAGATCATTAAAACATTGTATTCATTAATCTAAGTGAATTTTTCTACCTAATATAGTTTCATACAAGTAACCATCAACTAATTTCATTTTTTATTTAGACGTAGACATGATCACCTGTTTCGGCCATTTATTAGATCTTCGCATCATTTTTTTCATCTATTTGGCTCAATGTTACTACTGATTCGCAGTAGACATCAGGTAAAATCATCCATCTTTTGGGATGGCAAGGAGTGTTTTGGTTATCAAATTGTGTAAAGTTATGGACGCATTCTCTAACTATCACACATTCTCGAGTCAGCTCTTTTACATGAGACTACCCAATACCCAATCGCCATTCATACTAGATAAGAGTATCACTCTCCTGAAGTAGTTGTATAGCACATTTGAGAACAGATTTTCATGGATATAGAGATAACACCACACCCTTATAACATATATTACATACATTGAAACAAATTTACCAAATGAGTTATGATTCATCTCGTGTTCAGTTTCTAACTTCAATCATGTGTCGCAAAACTCAGTATACACTTCAATATATAGTATCTCCTTTGACTTCCAAATTTCACTGAAATATAAAACCATATCAGTTTTGATGTACAGTATCTTTTGTATATTCCATCGTTCAAGTACTGCTCCCATATTAGTCATTAGCACTGATTACAAATATTCACTCAGTGTGATGAAATATACCACACCAGATCATATCTCTGAAATGATGTTAATGACTACTTTTATCTTCCAGTCTAACCGATCAAGCTACTAGCAAGAGAATACGCTGGACTCCACTAAAATACTCAGAAACAATGAAATTACGAGTTAGGTGGAACCGCAATTTACATACAGTTACACATCCAAAGATCAAGGGACATTAGCTTTTATTCTATGAACATGTTGATCACGAGAAGGTGTAAGGCTCTGATCGGATGAGGGTGGAGCGCCATACATAAATTCAACATGAAGTAGATCTGGTTATACTGTCATATCATGTAAGAATGACGTTGCAGTCGACACAGTATAAACTCCGTAATGTTGACCACAGTTAGCGACATATGTCAAGACCTTCTGGACCGGAAAACTGCGTATCTATCATGAACATCCTTTGATTCAATGACAACGAAAACTTGAACACGATGCACACGTCGAGTGTGCGTCCGAGTATGGGCAAGATCTTCATACGCAATTGGAAACGAAGAAAAAGTCGACGAAACCCATCATGTAAAGGATTCGTCAGTGTACCGACGCCAGCGGTCAATATCGAACATGCACTGTCGTAACGTGGACTGAAAGCCACGTTGATACAACCGAACATAGACATTTTGACATATTTTGACAACTTCACCTGTTAACATACCAAACGTGCTACTGAACATTGCAGCCCAAATGCTCTTACCCGGCACCGGGTTCGCAACTTCATTCAGGTCTGCCGTGGAACACTCACTTTTACGAGTGAATAACTCGAAGTGTTCAACCTTTTGAACGTCCACTGTAGAATAGAAGGACGCATAGACACACGCAGTCGACCAAGCTTTTTCGTTTAATATCTATGACAACATGACTGACTGACTATCGTCCAGTATTTAGTACCCGTATTTCGTACTCGTGAGAGGAATTTTTTTAAGAAGCATTTCTCCTGCGTTCCAGCGTTTCTCCAGCGTTTCTTCTCGAGAAAGCTCCGTGTTTCTTGTTTCTCATGACCAATTCTTATACAAGTTAGCCATGAATACTGCAGAACACTCACAACAGAGAATGAAACAAACTCCAATTTTTTCATCTTTTTAACATCAATGGTCAGATCACTTGGACATTAACACCTGGATAACTCCGCAACTGGTCTTCCTAAAAGTGGTTGATTTCCTGAATACTGTCACTCGTTTCTAAGTTCATTATGTTACTAAGTTTTTACTCCACTCTCCGGTTAAAACACACGTAAGGTTATTCCCTGTACAACTTCAAACCAGCCAAACTGTACACTTCGACTTCCATATCGACAAAAATCTATTCCAACTTTGAAGCGCCACCGAATTCGTTCAATTCCTCTCTTCCTCTGGATCAACAGCTAGCTGGAAGAGCGACAACAGAAGGTGGACGGTGTCAGTTTCAACGAGCCTCAGTTCCAAAAGTAACCAATTTTACTTTTATTTCCAACTTGTCAAAACATCCCAGGAATGACACCTCATCTTCAGCACGATTTCAGGATCGATACCGTCCACTTTTGATCACAATTGAGTCTTGGATTGCAAGGATGTAGAGGTAAAATATAGCCAATCAAATTCTGAGTGTAAGATTCTGTGGGGTGGGGTGACAGGACCTACTGCGTGAGAGTAGAAAACTTTCGAAAGGATGAGGTTTGGGAGTGCTGACGTGGCGAGGAGACTAAACTTGGAACTCAACATGAGACTTACTCTGATACTAATGTGGCCAGAGAATACGACGTCGGGACTTGCTTCAGTGCAACCACAAGGTCGACTGGGCACGTGCTCCACAAAACTGACAGTCGTTCTTTGTGATACATCACTATCCGTATGATAGACTTCGTAAGAAAGGCATTTACAAAATACGCTAAAATATTTGGAAAATTATCCACTACAACGGAGGACAAATGCGCAGTTCAGATGGTGCAAATGCACCAGCAGCCAAGTGAACAACACATACCACTGTGCTAAGGGGTGATAAAAATACGTTGATACAACTACACAACTGATCAATAACGTGAAGCTCAGAAACTCCCCTCAAATCGTTCTCTATAATGTAAATCTTACTCTAAGTTCTGCAGACTGAAACTCAGCCCCATGAAAGGGCGTGTAACAACTTGGACTTCCCCATATGAGTGGTAATGTGTATCATGACTGGCTTGAAGCACTCTCAGGTGTTTTTGGTGTGTAAGTAAGTACAATGGCGAAGAAGGACGAGAACAGGCTTACTTGCACTTAAATCCCTTGCAAATGGATAACCATATGATCAGGATCACGACAATAATGATCGCTAGAACTATCAGCTTCACTTTGAAGTTCTGCAACCACATCTTGCGTCGCAGCTGTCTACCCTGACGCTGAAAGTTGTCGGCCTGCATAAAGTTGAGAGGAGCAGTCAGTTGACGTTGCTCGCGACCCAAGAACTCTGATCCCGTGTGCAAGGGAGCTACTCTTGATCAACACACAGAAACCCTGGGATGAAACTGACCTGAGTCCGAAGATTATCTGTTTTGTCAACTAGGACTTCGATTTTCTCACCGCGATCTAGTACCTGAAAAGAAGGAGAATTTCTGTTAAAACCTTCAAATTCAAAAATCAAAAAGGTCTGCCAAAGCATTTGCCACAGTGTAGCTTACACGGCCGATACTAACTTCGTATGCTTGCAATGCCAAAATATTGACCTCCTACGGAACATTCGTGTGAATGATGGTTCAAGGCGATAGATCACTTAATGAATACATTACGCATTGAACACAAAGCAAAGATATTCACCTTCTCAATGTTGTCCATCATGATACCCTTGACTTCCGAAACCTGAGCTTTGATTTTTGATAATTTGTTCATCTCTTCGGGATGCTCAACGCAAAACGTCATATGTTCTTTCAGTTTTGACCTGCAGGAATGAGTCTTACATTAGACCTTCAGAGCCGGTCAATGTCAAGATAGTTTATAGTTATTATTGCATGCGGAAAGGTGCTCCGCATACCCGAATTCCTTGTCAAGGCTGTACGCAACATCAAGTTTGCCTTCGTACCCGAATTCCTTGTCCAAGCTATGAGCAATCGCGGTATCTGCCCTCCCACCTCCATAACGTCTCTTGAAGTCCTCCTTGACACGCTCCAAAAATGCAAAAGGAATCTGCCTTCCGAAGTCCTCATCGGCAACGACCAGGTACGCTGCACAATGCCCCACACGATGGGCGGAGTTACGAGGAGATGAAGCATGTTATTTCCGAGGAGCGCAGAGACTACGAGGGCACCTGAGAGGGAAGGGAAGAGTTCGGGAAAAAGAACGTACTGAATCCATCTTCAACAAGGTAGTTGAAAGTGTGCCGATCGCAAGTGTAGGTAAACTTGTTATTGTTGGCGGGCAACTTCTGGAGACACTGGACTGCAATTGTGCTGAAGTTGCCGGAGAAGGCAGTGTACTCTGCCAGCACGACAGTACCTCGTGCCACAAAACTGTAAATCAACGAGTTCACACCCATGATTCCCGATACCAGAGCCGGCTTCGAATCACAGAACGACCGCCTCCTTTTCCTCTTGAGATCTCCTCAAAGGCTTTCAAATTCCCGAGCCTCGTTCCTGCCGTGCACGACAACGTTTTCGGCGAGATCTTCGACCACGATCTCCAATATCTGTTCGGATCTCTCGGTCCAGTTGGGATCTCTCGCGGGCGCTCGTTCTTTTCGCTTCAATCGCTCACAGATCTTACAGACCTCACTCTCACTCGGCAAATCAATCCTCTACCGCAACCCCCACAATCCACACCCGACGCAACCCACAACCTAAACCGAGTCGCTCGACGCTCCCGGGAGGCCGATTCGCACTCGTCCGTCCGTCGTCGACCTACGAGTAAACGCACCAAGGGAAGCACGAAGCGCGCGAGCCCTATTCTTCATTCGTCTCCCTCCCCGTGTCTGCCAACAACACTCGAGGCACTGTGCGCGACGTCGTCGTCGACCCTGCCCGGAGCTCGAACAAATGCTCTGAGCCCGCGAGCCCTATTCTTCCTTCGTCCTTCTCCCCCTCCCCCCTCCCCCCGCCCCTGCCCCTGCCACCGCTGGACGCGCTGCATAGGACCGCCCAGCTCAGCTCAGCTCAGCCCAGCCCGACCCGGCCGGTCCTCTCTCCTCGGCCGAAAGAAACGGCTGACCGCGTCCAGCGTTCGCTTGCGCAGTAGGCATCCCACGCTGCCGACTGCGCGAGGACTTCTACTCGGTTGGCAGACGAGGTCTCGTCTCGCACCTCAGAGACAGATCCAGTCGTAGAGCGACAGACAACACTTTGAACGCCGGCATCCTGAGGTCCCGTCAAGGACCCTCGGTCTCCAGAGGCTCCCCACGGAAGGCTTGGAATGGAAGAAGCCCCGAACTTCGCAGTTCCGATCCAGCGACCGGGCCATACAGATGCAGATAAGATGAAAGTTCGCCGCAACGGAGAGAATCCCCAGGGTCGACCGACCGACCGACCGACCATTCGGGCTTTAATTGGTCCAGAGCTCAGACTGGAAGCCGTGACCATGAATGCTGGAGGAGCACTCGGAAATTCGGGAACGTCATCCGCCGGCGAGAGGGCCATTTAAAGAAGGAAAGATCTCATTGTGGGATTGTGATCCTATTTCTGAGCTGTTTTGTGGCGCAAGTTTTCGCTTAACTGTACGCCTGTATCCCTGGTTCGAACCAAGCTCTCGTATTTTAAATCCCGGCGGATGCGGCAGATTTTTCAACAGGGCATTTGCGCAACACGGTTTGCATTTGTATCAGAGATCAAGAACTTCCTGGAGGTTTACCGACAAGTCGCAAGGATTCGGAGTGTTTCACGTGGGAGCAAACATACCGGTGGAAAATGCGCTCGGTCGTATGGGAACGAAATTGCGCCGAAATTTCGCAACGAAAATGCGCGGCATTTGGACCGGAAATTTACAAATTGACATGCTGTCAAACACGCATAAGCTCATTCGCCTGTCACAGTCTATCAACGAAGGGTCGAAAACATAACTTCGGGATCGGTCGGCCAGCATTGTACTTCTTGTACCCGTCGCGGTGCCGGACTGCCTCCAGCCGGTCACAATGGGTGTGACAGAGTTCTTCTTCTGCCAGACGCATCTGATGGAGTAACCCTGTAAGGGGGAAAACCCTCAACTTGTATCCCTGTAAATAAAATGGAAAATGGTACAGCCCCTGTACACCTAGAAAAGAAGAAAATCATTTATCTATGCGTATTAGGTGACAACCACACAGTATGCTATCAGGCAGACAATTAGGACAGTGGCATTGAGTTGGACCGAAGAAATGGCGACAAAACCACGTTGCTCTGATAACTCGTACTGCATTTATACTGCACAGTCGTCGATGAATGACAGCGAACCGGATCCTGGTCGAGAGTCCGTCCAGTCACCTGTCAGTCTTCGTCCATCTCCCTCGATCGGTCAAACCATCGTCCATCCATCTTTCCATCCACCCGCCCGCCCGCGCCTCTCCACCGTACGATGGTTGTCCGCGAGATGCAGCGCTTTTCTCTTCGTCGTCGAGTCGTTGACAACATTTTCTGTCGCGAGCCCGTTCATGCGCCTGGATTTTGCTGTCGATGCTCGCCCTTTCTTGCGTGCGGGATTTCCCTCACATGTTGCTTGTTCTGTCTGATTCTTCGCGACGTTCATAATCGACTGATGCATGGATGTAGGCTTGCGCTCGAATTTGTACTCCTTATATGTAACTCTTTGTTCTGTATAGCAATGGGAATGTCAATTGGAGCTGTTTGTTATTTTGGCTAGTCGTCTCTTGGAGTTACTGTACAGAGAAATCTTCGCCGGAATTTCAATTTGAGTTCATGACTGTAATCGTGGGCATGTGCCCTTGAAGGAGGATCTTAGCGGTGCTTTTGCACTGAAGCTGCAGAATCCTTCGTGATTACAATGGGTGGTAGCAGGGGCTCCGCGTAGTGGCAGATTTCAACTGAAATTTATATCGCCGAACAGCTCGGGAGATGTTTGTGAACTTCCAATTGCGTTTACTAGCACTTGAGTAAAAATCTGCACAGTTATGTCGAGAGCTTGCATCTTAACTATGCAGACGCTCGCTTTTTCTCAAGCGCAGCGTCCAGGAAGTGCGAATCTAATGGCATGAAATGAAATGAGCTGCGTGAGGTGTCAGTCTTTCAGGAATCGTTGTTGCTCCGTGATTCTGCCGTCGGAAAATTTCTCGATTGTAGGTGCAGAATAAGTCGCCAGACAGCTGCTAGTATTTTTCAACTTTCCAGAATATTGATCACAGCATTCGAGTGTTGGAAATCACTGAATGCTTGCGGCGGTCATTTGTGTCAACAACTTGCCGTAGTTGTTTCCAAACCCATGACTCACGACACGAGCATTTGTCAGATTTTATCATAAATGGTAAGTGCCTGTTGCCAGCGACTGGAAGTTTATTTTACAGTCAGAAATACAGTTATGGAGAGGACAAAAGTGGACTCTATGTAATCAGTCTGCAACTGGTGCTACTGGAATGCAGGCACGGAATCGGGACGAGCTCAGATTCCCTTCGAGATTCTCTTAGGGACTTCCTGTTTTGATTTGAGGAACTTTAGCGACTGATTGTCGCACAGTATCTACATACTCCGTGTAAAGTATTTGAGAACCGAAAAAGATGGTCTTCGCAGCGGTCCAGAGAACCAGACAGGCAAGTACAGAAGGAGTGAAAAAAGTTTGCGCTTTTCATCTTTTGAATGACTTCCAGTCCACCAAACACTTTGAGCTTACTAGGGATAGCCTCATCGCGTGTCTGTAACTGTGGTGCGACAGCATGGAGAAATGACGACTTTTTGTCTTGTAGGTTGTGAAATAAACGATCAGAAGAATGTTTAACCTACTAGCAGACCCAGGCCTAGCTTAAGCACCAGCTTCCTCTTCTTACTTTGAGCAGGTAATGATAACAAAAGCTCAAAGAATATTGCCTACCTGACGCTGGACTCAAACCGTAGGAACGGCTTGGCACATCGGATACGAGGTAGAGGAACGGGCGTAAAAAACATGTCTCCATGTTGAGGCAGATGAGGGAGGCTAGAGGTGGATGAATAGTCCCACCCACTCATATCGGGCTGTAGATGGATTGTGTCGTTGCTCCTGACTGCCGGCCAAAAGTGCAATCAAACAAGCTTTGGCCTAATTTGGTGGATCGAATTAGACTCACGAAATTCATGTCTGTTCGAAAGAGTTCGTTGCAGCGAGTAATTTCCAAGTCTCACGAGGCTCGTTTCTACGAGCCGCTTTCCAGGCAACTTCTATGGATGATGAAGTACAAAGAAGAACGAAGTGTACCGTTGACCTCGGAGTGGCACTGAAGGGAGTTCCTAGGTCGTCAAAAGTTTGCCTACACTAGGTTGGAGTGAGTCTCAAAAAAAGTAAGACACCAAAGCAATCGCCAATTGATGTTCATTATCATGCATTGAGAAAGAAGCGACCGTAGGCTTCAGTGATTGTATCAGTCTTGATGTTTATTAACCACAGCGGTGCGCTCTCGTCTTCTCTACAAAAGTCATTTTCCCGGCGTAGATGAATCGAAATGAGGTACTGGAGCCAAAGACAAATCTTACCCTTCGGATATGTGCCCTAGTCAACCTGAATAGCATAGCTGTATAAATACTGCAATTTCCGTCGCCCCTTTCCCGATTTCCATCCGTCCTCGAAAGAAAAGAAGTAAACCAGCCGCTTTGAAATCAACGCAGATACTGTGAAGAGAAAACTCTAAGAGATAATTAAAGGTGAGCATGAAACGGGCGCGTAGTGAGTAGGAAGTCATGGGTGCTAAGTGGAAATCCGGCAAGCCAATGATTGGTACATGTGCATGCACTTTTACAGTCCTACGGAACCATCAAACATCGCAAGTATACCTACCGCAAAGGATGGATTTCCAAAAAAGGGAGTGATTAGCATCGAATGAAGGCTCTACCGCACGCAATTTAGAAATTCATACAAGGACCAGAGAGAGCATCACCCGAAGAGTACAGTCGAGATCGTAGACACATGAGCAAAGATTCACAGTCGCCATTTCTGATGCCAAGAACGGAGATGAACAATGATTCGAACCCGAATCGAAAAGGCACCTTCAGGATAGGCCACCCAGGGCCCCTACCAGGCAGGCACAGCACAGCAGAAAGGTCCGGTGGAGATTTGGCGCAGGTGCCGGTGCAACATCGTAAAGAATTGATTTCCAATGAACATTCCCTTCGTGCCAGCAATTAATAGCAATCCGCGAGTGTGCTCCAGGCAGCGTACACAACCGTTGCACAAACCGACAAAATATTCAAAATACCAGCAGCTGCTGCTCGATTTGCCGCCAAACAGGGAAATAGACATCCGGCTACCGATGAATGTCGCCGAGGCCGGTCTGCCGCCCGGAGAAGGCCGGTCGGTATTCACTCCCCGAACACTGCTGCTACGGTTGCCGACCGGGAGAGGGCCGGCTACACAAAGACGGGCCGGGTCTGGGCCGGTCGGGAGCTGTGCACCTGAAGGATAAATTCCCCTCTTAACCAAGTGCATTTTATTTTATTTTTAGTTTCTTTATCATATGTAGAGCGTCACACAAGCACCCTTCCCGAAGCTTGAAACAATGTAGAATGTTTGTGCTTCATTTCTGCTGCGAAAATATTTATTTCTTTAATTATTTATCGAATGGCACGTTGGAAACGAGCGTATGGAGAATGTTCTTTGGGCAACATCCGTATCTGATGGTATATGTCCGTTCACCGTTTCGAACTCCGTAGTCACTTCATGTTACCGGCTGAGTAGGTCAGCCCGACTGGATTGTCGGTGACAGACATGGAGTATCTTTGCACCAGTGTTGGCAGTCGTGCACATTTGTGGGATGGCCGTCGAAAGGGATGGCACGATGGTGCCTCCAAAGCTCGTGAGGAGTTCTTGTCGAGGCCGTCTTGTGGCTGAGCCAAGAAAGAGCTCTCGATGTTTTACGGATCAGATTGATGCGCACAAGATTGATCAAGGGAGGCTTTTCATCAGGTTTGTTCATCTTCTGAGTTGAACGATTGTTCCTCTAGCCTGATCCAACCCTTCAGCGTCATTCAACATTCGGCCAGCAACATTCCCTATTTTGGCTTACACTTTCTTTTCCGTCCATCCTGCAGAAAGATTGTTTCTTTTTTTGTGAAAATCGTCGATTCGGTGTTTCGAGTCCTCTGGTTTTCTTCTCTCTAAAATGCAGAAGGCTCGGCAGGGAACAATGAAAGTCATCAGTAAGCAAAGCCAGGCCAAGACTAAAAACGTGGATGGGGACGTCTTTCCAGCAAGATTTTCAGAAGAAGACTTCTACACATCCTACCTTCTTCGTGCTCAAGACAATCCTTCCACGTTTGCTGCACCAACTTCCGCTCGTCACGTTGTTACTACCATCAACGTGTCGACCACAGGTCGACACACATTAAAGCAGAGCCCTATATCAAATTCTTGAGCTTAACTCCATCCCGTCACATGCCGTATTCTAGAAGATAAGTAGGATTTAAGTGATCACTGAGTTTACCGCATAATTTGGGATTGACCACGAGTAGGTACTACGGTGAAGTGTGTGCTCTTGAGTGGACCACACTCCATGATGGAGCCTCTATTGCTACAGCACTTTTTCCCATGTCTATCCTTGGCTGCGAAGGGAGAAAGAAATGGAGGTGTGGAGCTAAAATAAAGTGGTGGAAGGTGCAGAGGAAGATGATTGATTGACAGAAAGTCGAAGCTTTACGCCAAAGTCTGCTTATATACGGAATGATGCATTTATATTCCTTCTTTACAACTTCCAGCAGATGACATCTTGACCTTGTCCGGAGCGATGCTTCCGGGGCAGAATGTTGAATGTCATGAGCTGGATGCTACTGAACTATCTCCAGCAACGCAGAAGCGGAAATTGCTCTGACAGTCCCGATCCCCGAGTCCAGTCCCATTTCAGTTCGTTGGACCTTGCTTCATGTCGAAGAAAAACGAGCCCCGGTTTTTCACCATCGTGGAGTTCATGTCAACAGAGCCAAGTTAAATCCTGGGGGCCAAGCAGATGACGAAAAGGTGAGAGCCAAGTTTTGCGCAGAGTTGTTGACCCCTTATTAAATACGATGAATTGTGCAAAGGTGCTGCTTCCAATGTTCTGTCAGTATTTTTCTCCCTTTCTTAATACGAGGGCTTCTTTGATCCGAAAACTGAATTGCAATTTGCTTGACACCTAAATGAAGGGTAGTTAGGCTGCCCTTCAAGTGAGTAACCAGCACATTACAATGGCTGTGGCTTGGTTGGCATGGTGATTGATAGGTGAAAATCATATCCGCAAATGAATAGAGGCTTCCTGCAATTTGACTCTTGTACTATATTCTCGCTAACTCTAGCGCGACCAACGTATGAACAAAGGAGGGTAAGAAACTTTGTCAGTAGGTTTCAAACATGAGTTTGTAATGAGGACTGTAATTAGGTATAGAGGAAGTCACCGAGACACATAGCGAGACATCGTGTGAATTGTAACTCTCGTATAATTTCTGCGTCACAATTATGAGAAAATCGTCACAGCATTAGAGAGTCCGAAAAGGTGTAGCTTTGGCACGTTATTATTTCTATATTTTATTTAAAGAACGGTAAGTACTTTTACTTATAAATCTTATCCCATGTACAAGGAAAGCATACCCTATGACCCAATAAAATATTATACTGTTATAAAATAAAAAATAGAAATTTGTGAGCATTCCACTTACCAAACCTTGAAAATATGTTTCAATCTTCTACTCTTTCTTCTTCATATCTAAATATAGATATCTTAGATAATTAAAATGCGACTCGTCTTCTCTTAAAAAGGCGAATGCTTTTTTCAGTATCTAATTTTTTTTAAAATTGTAAATTATCAGAACACATAAGTGAAATTGGGGTAATTTCTTGACCATAGAAATTTAATTCGGCTTTATTTTAGAATAATTAAATAATTATTCAATCAAGCCCCATGTCATGTAGTTACGAGTCGGCTCACGAAGTTCAGACACTTACTATATTTAGCCGTAAAGTTAGGGTTCCGGTCACGAGGGGTATACAGTCGGGGACGGCTCGAAGAACGTCAGTTCTTCGAGTCGAGCCTGGAAGCGTTGGGAGCGTAGAGTGACTTTCCCCTTTGCGTCGACCTGGATTCTCCGAGTGTGGAGTGGGTTGGGCTTGACTCATGTTTGTGACGGTGACGGTTTGTTGCCAGTAGAGTAATTGACCGACGGGAATTCCAGTGGGGAATTTCCCGTACGTTTCACTCGAAGAACTCACGTAGGTTCTGAGTAGCGGAATTCTTCACAATTTGTTTTACAGATTTCGCTATCGGTGTTAGGGTTGCCTTGGTTGTGGTTGCGGTGCATTAGATCCTTTGAGGAGTGGCAGGTCGATTGGTTCTTTGTTTTTGGATCGAAGTTTGTTCGAGACTTGGTTCTTCAAATCGGTTTTAGGCGGTCGGGGAGCTCGTTCGAAGGTGGTTCGAAGATTGCAGAGCGTGTCTGAGGAAAGTACAGAGTGATTGTTTCGGGAAAATTGCTGTCGAGTGGTGGCGTCGTCGCGGTGAGAGATTTTACCAAGCGGTAGTTGTAGTGCGCGGGTGCACCGAGACCGACGAGGAAGATTTGCGCGCTTGTTCTGGGGGATAATTCGGAAGACCAGGTGGTGCCGGACGGGAGGAGTCGTGTTCGGAGACGAAGGTCGTTGGGGTCTACACGGAATATCATGGGCTCTGAGTGCCTTCCAGAATGAACCTTCTTCGTTGTCGGCACGACCTGCGATAGTCTCACGCTTTTCCGAATTCGCTTGACGTTCCTGATCTTTTCCGAGCCTTTGGGCTCCATGTAGCTTGTTGCCTTGTGGGCTCCTTCTGTACGAGGTAGAAGCCGCGGTCGCTCGCGCGTTCGTCGAGTTCGTCGAGCGAGGAGTAGTGTAGAATCGAAGCGAACCGACCCTGTCGCGCGAGCGATGGAGTAGCAGATGTTGAGGAGAAGCGGTGACTGGTGCTCAGCAGCTGAGACGGAAAGATCGTATCTCGATGCCGCGCTAGGCGCGGAGCGCATAGGTTGAGAGTGACCGCCAGCGCCAAGGAGGACTGGATTGCGAGTCGCGCTTGTAGATGTGCCAGGGGAGATTTGGATTTCATCTCGCGGATTAAAGAGGCGGAGCGACAGGGAGGCAATTTGACTCGAAAGAATTGGACGAGATCCGCGTGCCGATGTTGGTGATCGAGACGAGTCTGTAAGGTGCTCAGTGGCGAGAGCGCACAGGGCTGTGCAGGGCCTCTGGGCAGACAGGAGACCTCCGGAGTCGACTCGAGAGAGGAAGGGGGAATGCAGGCCTCGTGAAATTTTGCTGCTGCAGTTCGGAATATCGCTAATTTACTGGCCGATTGATCCGACTGGATTGCATTGCCGTCTTGTCGAGAGCTACAATTTCGGTCTACACGTCGAGGGAAGAAAGGGCGTTTCTTATGTTCTGCGTTTTGCCCCTCGTCCGTATCAGCTTTGATATCCTCTTTCCCTGCCAATTCCTCCCCCTTGTCGCCACATTCTGTGAAAGCTGATGATGAACTTTCACGCTCTGGACCTTTTTTCCGCTGCCCTGCTTTCTTGGGCTCCTTTATCGGTTGGGGCAGAATTGTGCGCGGAGTCGGATTATGGGCAGCAGAGTTGTAGAGTTCTACCCTAATGTGCTCGGCTAGTTTTACGAGCGCAGATGTTCACTGAACATTTGTGTCTGAAAAACTTCCCGTACGTTTCACTCGAAGAACTCATCGTTGTTTACACCCTTCTTTGCATGGAAGGGGTTATTCCAGCATTTGAAGGGGCCTCCCATGGACGATTATCATGAGTTTGGGAGAGAGTATGCTGCAGAGATTGATGCATGGAGACGGCATTGGTCTCCGAACTACTCATCCATTACCCAGGGTGGTGTGGGTACCAGTGGAGCTGCGAGTATCGGCATCAGTGGAGGTGCGAGTAGTAGCATCAGCGAGGGTACCAGTGGAGCAGTTGGCGCAACTGGTACTAGTACCAGCAGCGGTACTGTTAGCATTGCCGGTGGCAGCACGAGGGGAGATGCTAGTGGCGTACCTTCGTTTAGCCCCATTCCTGAGTTCTTCCAGAGATTGAGGAAGAATTATCAGGGGGTGAAAACGAAGAAGTTGAGGAGCCTCCAGGAGTTTGAGCGGAAGACTAGTGAGAGTCTTCGTGAGGCATACACTCGTATGCGACGGCTCATCTCAGTTACTCACGGTGTGACTGAGGCACAGGCTGTCAAGTATTGGTATCGGATCCTGGACAGAGAGTTGCGGAGGAGAGTGCGTGATGCTACTCTCATGAGCGACTCATCACCCACATTAGCCCATGTGTTTGCTCTTTCTGAGAAGATTGAGCTTAACATGGTGGAGGAGAGGGTGGTGACGTCTACATTTGCGAGGGACACGACCACTACCTCACGTATCCCACATAGCCCAACACAGTCTCGCCCCATAAGTGGGAGTCGTGGAGGTCATACACGACATCTTTCAGGTCATAGAGAGCCTAGTGCGCGGCCACCACTGCCTTCATTTTCGGGTCAGCCACAGGGACCGTCATGTTGGACATGCGGAGGTAGCCATATGAGGAAGGATTGTCCCCAGGAGCGAGGGGGACAAACTCCACATGCTAGGCCACAGCCGGCACAGGTGACCTGTGATCATTGTCATCGACCGGGTCACCCTCGAGAGCGTTGCTTTGACCTTCATCCTGAGTTGAGATCTGGACGTAGAGGTCGTGGAGGTGATGCTCCACGAGGCCGAGGTGGTCGAGGTGGCAGAGGCGGTAGAGATGGTAGAGGTACTGGAACCATTGAGCGTACTGCAGCGAGTGCTACTTCCGCCACAGAGAGCGCTCTGGCTGCTCGGATTGAGCAGTTGGAGCAGAGGCTTGCTGCTATGGCTGGTTTGGGGGCGAGCACTTCCACATCTTACGAGGGAGAGGATTTCTCCTATTTGGCCAGTGCAGCACAGGTTGAGGCATCAGTTGCAGTAACCAGAGGTGGTGCTCGCACTTCAGAGCCACGTGGTGCGACTGTGGAGTTGGACCCTCAGAGGGGTGATGGTGGACGTCAGTCTAGACTTCCCCAGTACTTTTTGTTGTCAGAGGTGGTTAGCAGTTCATCTATGAGACCTGCACCGCCTAGTGACACTAGAGTGAGAACTGAGGTTCTTACATCATCTGTGGTGGACGCAGACGTGCCATCTAGTGTAGTGATGCGGATTGCCACTTCAGTCTTGCGATCTCCATTGTTTTCAGCCACGGAGTTGATACACTCTGGTATTGATTTGGCTCGAGTATTTCGGGTGGCAGCCACGTCGTGTGAGCGTGGGAGAGTCGCTGCTACGAGTGCCGAGATACGTGAGGATACAGTTGAGAACCCATCCTCAACGTCTACATTGTTCGAGAAGACGACTTGGCAGGCCGCAGCGGCTAGGATGGAGTCCTTACCAGCTCGCCCAGCCATTGATCGCGAGAGTATTGTTCCTGGTGTATGTATGGTGGACAACCGAAGTGGTCTATTTCGGTTAGTAAGTTCTACTGGACAGGTGTATGTCCCAGCCAGAGTTTTGTTGGATTCTGGTGCACAGCCCTTGATGTTGGGCAAGGCTGCATGCATTAGTTTGGGCATTCGGAGGTCAGAGTTGGAACCTTGCCCATTCCAGATCCAGACATCCCTTGGTGGCGCCAGAAATAGGTCTTACTTTATGACCAAGGAGAGCATAGCGGTGCAGTTGAGGCATGATCACCCTCATGATAGCTTGCAGTTTGGAGTTCGTGATGTGGTTACATCAGCAGAGTCATATGATGTGCTTGTTGGTGGAGTGGTGTTATACCCGATGGGCTTTCGGATGGACTATTGGACGGAGACTGCCGCATATCGTCCTGGTTGGCAGTCCGGAGATGGACGTTTGAGCGAGCTGCCAGTGAGATTTATTTCTCGGGATCGACCTCTTGGATCTTCATCAGCGGTCTTGGCATCTGTTGCGGGTTTTAGCGGAGTGCTTACCTGGCCCGATGACTTGTTGGAGGGGAACATGTCTGCCGACAATACCTCACTCTACGAGGATGTGGAGGAGGTTGTGAGTTTCACAGCGGCGGTGACTTCACCCTTAGATGTTCCACTGTGGAGTTCGTGTCAGGCACTACAGTTGGAGGCTGATAGGTTGGTGAGAACGGCTTGGAGTGAAGCCTCTTTACCAGCAGAGCCAGACAGGGCTTCAGCTGATCGGCCCGTTAGTGGTTCTAGCGCATTGTCTCCATTGGTTACTACACCTATTGCATGGGAGTATTCCTCAGAGGGCGTTTGTTTGCTTGATCTTTTTGGTGGGATCAGCACCGGTTTGGCTGCGGTGTTGCAGTCAGGTATTCTCGTACGGAGATACTTATATGTGGAGAAGGACGAGACTGCACGTCGAGTCTCTTCACGACATGTTGCACAGTTGATGCGGCATTTTCCTTCGTTGTTGCCGCGATCAGCTGTCCGAGGATTCCAGAAGGCGTTGCCTTCAGACATTTTGTTGCTGGGGGCACCAGACCTTGACCGCGTTGGCCATATTGATATGGTGATTGCGGGTTGGCCATGTCAGGGACACACACGCGCTGGACATGGGACAGGGTTGCATGATCCCAGATCTCGGATGTTTTGGGAGATGATGCGAGTGTTACGTCAT